TATGCTCCGTCAAATTTAATGCAGTTAAAGTATTTCTTTGTTGAGGAAATTAAATTCCATAAAAATTATCAAAATTTTTGCAACGTGACCAAACTCATGACCTTTTAACATTTATTGTGTGTCAGATGTAGCTTTGATTGGGTTTAAGGAGCAGATTTTTAGGAACAACTTCCTATTTGAGTGATTTTCTGCAGAAACTCAACAGAACTGAGGATTGTTTACAAATTACTCAGCAGCAGCGGTGAGCAGGAGATCACTTGGGGGTGAACATGGAGGAAGTGAGAAAAGGAAAGGTTGGACTGGTTTGTTCAGAGTGTTTTCAGCTAAGAAACTCACACACACACAAACACACACACACTCGTACCATCTGCAGCCTCCCGGCAGAGCTCAGGCTGATCCGAGTTTATCTGCAGTCAGAAACAGAAACTGCCTCATGTTTTACAGAATCTAAACTTGGTGCCCTCCAGTCTCCTCTGTGTGTGTGTGTGTGTGTGTGTGTGTGTGTGTGTGTGTGCGTGTGTGTGTGTGTGTGTGTGTGTGTGTGTGTGCGTGCGTGCGTGCGTGCGTGCGTGCGTGCGTGTGTGTGTGTGTGTGTGTGTGTGTGTGTGTGTGTGTGTGTGTGTGTGTGTGTGTGTGTGACGCTGCAGGGACAAAAAGCTGCTGCTCAGTCACATTGTGGACGCTGAGCTCACTGTTTGAGATAAACGCTGTGGACTGGGTTTTAGTGGTTTAGGTTCTGCTGAGTCTCCGAGGAATCGGCGTTCTGTGGAGATAAAAGGACTGTGGCTGTTTGCTCTGAGAACCAGCTTTAGATCCTGTCTCTGGTTCATCCTAACTTTTGATCACGTCGCTAATTTAAGGAGCCGGAGTACAACCCAAAGCTGCAGAGGTAGAACACATGAAACAAACCACTAAATTTCTCAGGCTTTTTTCAGATTTACTTTAGTATCTGATGGTCGAGATCTAGATCCAATAAAGGACTTTGATGACTTTAGATTATTATTCTATACTCATGTTTGGAAATGAGTTATTGGAGCTCAGATTTCACCTGTGTGTTAATCATAAATGTACTTTTATGATGCTTTTATTTGGTTTCTATGCAGTTTTCCTTATTTAGTTTCAGCTCCAGACAGAATTATAGCATCTTATCTGCTTAACAGACTCATGACCTCATCGTGTTTCTTTGCTACCAGAATCTTCCACGTTGCCTACTCAAACAGCAAACAGCTAAAATCAACAAATAATTAAATCAAGATAAAGAATTCAGATGCATAATAAATAAAATGCCTCTGATTTAACTTTACTTTTACTCTACTTAACTTTATCCCTCCTCAGACTTTATTGGCTCAGATCTCACAGAAACTCAGCCATTCACCGCTGATACTGGTGGTACCAAAACTTCTACTGGGTCCTGAACTGGACATGAAACCCGTATGAGAGCGTCATATGATACACCAGATTTACCTACGCGACTCTCAAACTGATGCTGTTGGATTATTTTAAGGTAGAAGAACCGTAGGAGACATGGCTCAACCACAGAGGAACTAGTCATGTTAAGTTAAGTTGAACCTTTACTAAGTTTATGAAGATGATTTCTGTGTGATCCGTAAACGCATGCACAGGTTTGTTTCTGAGAAAAAACTTTGCCGTTTCTGTCCTGCAGCACTTTGTCATAGCGATGTAGTGCATTAATGTCTCCCTCTGAACTGGCTGCTAAAAACACCAACAACAAACAAGATTTGATGCTTTTTGTTGGATTTTCTGCAGATTTTCATCCCCCCCACCACACACACACACACACACACCACCACCACCATCACACACAGTGACGCAACACCACCCGGCTGCTGAAGTTGACTACAAGTGCACGAGATCTTCTTTTATAAACAACACAACATGTTTGTGTTGTTGACACTATCTCACCGCCTGAACGCTGATACAACTCCAGCATCAGAAATCTGTTCTGGAGGGAATAAAGGAGGCGAGTGTTTGCACAGACAGATTCAGACAAAGCGGGGTGGATGGAATAAATAAAGATGAGGAGGTGTGACGCCGTCGCTCTGCAGAAACACTGAGTCACTGCTGATTCCAGCTTTGCAGGAGGCGAACGACTCAAACTTCCAACGGCTCCCAACTCGAGCCTGTAAATTCTTCTGTGATGCCTTCCAGATGTGCTGTAAGGAGTCGGCCGCTGGGGAATCACAACACAACACAGCACAGGACGTTTATGAGCCGTAATATAAGGGCAGAGTAGGATGAGGGTGTTCGCTTACAGCCGAGGACTCTGAAGAAAGAGAGGAACGCTCGAGTCCAGGTCTGCATCGTACCACTGAGAGGTCTGCTTGCTTTGCATCACCTGTGTCAGACTTAAAGACCACTGATAACCACTGATTTCTGCAGAAACTCCTGCTTAACAGGAAGTGCTACACTACTGATATTCACACCTGCAAGAATTTTAAAAATCTGTGAAATTAGAAGACGATGGCGACCCTGTCTGGTGTTTCTCCGTGTTCATGAAGCCACAAAGATCCAGTTTGCTGCAGCCACCATGGTGACTCCTGACTCAGCATGTAGGGCTTAAAGCCTGCTTCCTGTTACATAACTGTGGTGTTTAAGCATCAAATAACTAATTACAACTAAACACTTACATAAATACACACGTACAAAAGCAGCAGGATTTTACAACTGCGGAAATCCTCTCAGCGGTATTTTTATTATTTTTAAACAAAGTGTTATAATCTTGTAGCTGGAGGGGGCGGGGCTTAAACCATGTACCGCAGCCGGCCACCGGGGGGCGGTCCTTCTGTTATCTATGATGATAAAACGAGCTAAGACTAAATCTAAGTTGTGTGACTCAGGATTAAATCAACTCTGAGCTGAGTCATTTGTAAAGCGTAGAACTTCACTTAGAAACATAAAAAGTTAAATTAGGCGTCTGCTATCGGATCTCCAGATGGAAAGGCAACTGCTCAGCCCTTGAGCAAGGCATTTGGCCGGGACATCTGTGTTTGCAGGGCATGAACAGCCTCTGTGGTTAATGGAGAGGAGGCTAACTGTGAAGAGACGGAGCTGCTTCATTAAACGGGCCGTCTGAGCGGACAGCGTCCGCCTGCAGCCACACACACCTCCTCAGGAAGAGGAGCGGGAAGAGGAAGAGGAGGGCCGTGGATCAAACTGTAACACCGGAACGTCTGACTTTAAAGCTGAGCTTTTTAACTCGTTCCTCGTGATGAAAGATGTCTGCAGAAGCAGCAGGATTCACCCGCAGAACCTGATAAACGGGAATTACGTTGTGTTTCATTAAAAGTTCAAACGTGTTCGGCTGCTTATTGAGTTGTTTTGTTTTCAGAAGCATGGCCGGGTTCATTAAGAGTAGAATATAAAGAAATCAGTGGTGTAAAAGTTCTGCACAGCTCATAACCTCCTGCTTGGATCTTCAGTCTGAGACTGAAGGAGCTCCAGAAGTGTCGCAAATAAATGGAAGCAGACGTTTGAACAGACGAGGCTCATTAGTCAGACATTCCTGTGATTCTACACCTGAGAGCTGAGAGCTTCTGACCCTCAGACGTAGGAAATGTTTTGATATTCTACCCAGTTCCTTTTATTTGAGAGGTCAAAGGTCAAGCTGTGTTTTTAAGCCAGACGTTCAAAAGCTGCTGCGGATTTTTGTTCTCGTGTATCCGACCCGACCAGTTGGGAACGCTGACGCAGATCAGCTGAGATTCCGGATTATTGAGCTGATTCTTCCTGAAAACGTTTTCACCGATGTTAGAAAATAAAGCTTCTTATTTCATTCCAGACTTTATTTGCTCCTTTTTATTTAAGCAGCTGATTGATCAGATATTGAATCATTACGTTTTCTCCCAACAATAAACACAAAGAAAAGATGGAATCATGTAGTTCTACACCGAGGAAACCAGTTTATGCATCATTTTAAACACATTTAGCTAATTCTGATATCAAAACGATTGCACATAAGTTCTTATTAATAAGGGTTTAGATGAGAAAACCTCTTAAACCTGATTTCATTTGTTCAGTTTAAATGTAAACCTCACAGGTTCATTTCAGTACTGGTCCCAGTTACCAGCAGCCACTTAGAGATGCTGCGGGGCCTCGTGGGACTCCAACACAGTAGCAGGAAGTTACGTTTAAGTTATAAATAGACAAAGAAAAAGGTGTTTGCTGCTGTAACGACACATGTGAAGAACATTTACAGTGAAGCTGGACGCTGACAGAATCAGGCTCTTCCTCATATCCCCCCATGTGGATCTGAGGCACGGTGGGTGGACAGAAGGGTGTTGCTGGGTGAAGGATGAGCTCCTGCAGCGGTGGTGGGAGGTCCACACAGACAGCAGACTGATGGAGACTCTCTGAGGGAGTCTCTGAACCTCCTGCAGCTTCAGATTTCTGTTGTCACCGCCTCTCTCCCGCTTTTCTAAACCCAGCCTTGTTCACGTTGCAGTTTTATTATTGTTCTTTATCCTCTGAGGAAGAGCACAAGTGATGCCAATGCAAAACCAAGTCCTGCGTGTGGTGCGATTCACTCTGACGTGAGCTGGAGTTTTCTGGGACTTCAAAGCTCTGTAGAGTTGAGGCTGATTCACTTTGTCTTCATCTGCTTTTACCCGCTTTAGATCATCGTCTTTTTTTAACATGCAAACCAAGTTGGACAAGCAGATGAATATTTCAACCTGAGATTTTTCCTCGCAGGGAGATCTTCAATCATTCAGAAGAAGCAGCTGCTGTCAGGATTTAGTCCCAAAGTAGCACCATGTGAGGACAAGAAGGCAAAAACATTTTATAGAAATTACAGGAAAGTTCAGGCGTTAATGATGATCACAAAGAGCGGTTTAATGTCCACAGTCTGGGTTTGAAGTTAGGACCGTGCAGATGAGAAATGTGGTTTCATTCTCTGGTGTTTCTGTCAGCAGAAGCCAAAGTAACTCGATTTATCTCCAATTCCAAACACAAAAACGGATCATGTGTTTCCTCTCCTGCAGGTACGACTATGTGGAAGTTTACAACGGGGGCGACGAGATGTCGCCCATGCTGGGGAAGTTTTGTGGGAAAATTGCACCTTCTCCAATCATCTCCAGCGGCGGGCAGCTCCTCATCAAGTTCGTCTCCGACTACGAAACTCACGGGGCGGGGTTCTCCGTCCGATACGAGGTCTTCAAAACAGGTGTGTGGTTGTGCTGCAAAAGCTGCTGCTCAACTTTTATAAACGATAAAAATAAAAGCACAAAAATCTCCTGGTGAAAATGTTTCACAATGAGGCGACAAAGCTGGATTGTTCATCCATAACATATCTAGAAAATATCTAACCGCAGCACAAAACATTCATTCTACACATCCCATAATAATTTGGTTCTTTTGCAAGACTCTATATGACAAAATGTCTGTTTTCGTGTTTAATCCGTGTCAAAAGTGTAAGGAAAACCAAGAGGAATAGAAAATGTTAAAGCTGCTGCCAGTAGCTCATCAGAGTAGGTTGCTATGGTAACCATAGAGTTACACGGCATCTCCTGCATCTTCTCGGTTTTCCGTTGGAGAAACAAGTTAAAAAGAGCCATCACTTCCAGTTTTAGATAGACATCAGTGTGTTTTGATGTGAAGGGACTCTCTGGGTTCTCCGGTGTGCTCTGACTGCACTCGGGAGGGATCTGAGTGAAAACTGCAAGTCGTTCACTAAAAAGTGACACACCAGGTGGAATAACCTAGCCTTGTCCACGTTTTCATGTACGATTTGTGTTTGTAGGATAAGGCTTTGGCAGTAACAAGAGTTTGCTTCCAATTATTCCGGGAAGGTTTAGACAACTCAACATACGATTTGGTAAAATGTCCAAAAATCATAAAAAATTTAACTGAAGTTTTATAAATGATCAAAAAGGCCGTTTAAACACATAAAGTCCAACATTCTGTGATCTGAGTTATGTCTCTGGTATCAAGGTAGTCTGAGCTCCAGAGCTCCAAGGAGGAAAGGAGTTTTGGGGGAATTTTGTCCTGTTTCCGCTACGATTACATTCATAGCGCAGCATTCCCAGTTGAGCCACTTATGTTCATCTGCTCGGGAGTTTTTCTTAGACTGTAGCAGGAGATAAGGAACAAAACATCACTCAGTGTTTATTTAGTGGATAAAACTGTTGTTTGTAGTTCAGTCTGGAGTTTTTCATCCCGTTTTCACCTCTCTGAGAAAATGGGAGCTATAAATATCTTTCAGTCTGAGGTCCTCGTTTATTTTTAGCCGGAGCCGAGCCCCTGGTGCACTGACCACTGGGCTTCAAGCAAAACACTCCCAAGTCATCGGAGTCCCGGGTGGAGCAGGACAGACCTACATAAACACTCCAGCTTTGGGAGGAACCCCGATCTCTTTGTTCCACATTTGTGTTCACTCTTCCCTCCTGGCTCCACTTGAGCATCCGCCACCGCGGGTGCTGGACATAAATCAGATGAAAGCAGAGCACGCATGAGATTCCTCCTCGTTTTTTTTTTCATTCCCACCCCAGAGAGCAATAACCGTCCCCAGGATCTAGGAATAACGATCCCCAGGTGGACGCGCGTTCGAAAGCTCCGTGTTGAACTGTGATAAACTCGAGCTTTCATTACTGACTCCAGACGCGGCTCGTCGCTTTTCCCTAAACTTTAAATTAGTTTGTCACTTCTCATATGAAAACTTTACATTTCTGCTGGCATCGATTTTACCTCACGGCTGCGACGTGACTGATGGGTGTCGGGATATCAGGCGGTGGAAGTAGGTCATCAGGAACATCAGTCACGTTATTTAAAGATGAAGCTTTCAAAAGGATCCGTCTCCGGTTATTGGAATTCTCTGAGCATTTGGGAATTACTTTACTATTTCATTAGGAAACAGCAACAACTTTCCATCATTTTTATCTGGAAAAAAGTGTGATAGTGGGATATGTTATCCGTTAAAGGAGGTCTTTTTTCTGTTACTACAATCTTTAGCCTCTTTGGATCAGGAAAAACGTTTTTCCTGATGTTGCTTTTGAGCACGCCTGTGTGCAGCAGCCCATTACTTAATATGTGTGTGTGTGTGTGTGTGTGTGTGTGTGTATGTCGTTTTGTGTTTTTGTGTTGCAGCATGTGTGTTCCTATGTGTAACAGACAGGTGTGTGAGACCTCAGGCTTATTTAGCTAATGGGCTGTTTGTCCTTGGAGGCAACGGGGTGACCTGCAGATGAGATGGATGCTCTGGCATAGAAGAGCAGCTCTGAAACTGGGACAGAAATGTGTGTGTGTGTGTGTGTGTGTGTGTGTGTGTGTGTGTGTGTGTGTGTGTGTGTGTGTGTGTGTGTGTGTGTGTGTGTGTGTGTGTGTGTGCGTGTGCGTGTGCGTGTGTGTGTGTGTGTTTGTGTTGGCCTAAAAATGAGTCCTCCACTTCCTAACAGGGTAAAAACAGCTCTTGTACTCACTCGGGTAATCCCCCGCCATGCTGCTGCCTTTTCTTCGTGTCACAGTTAAAATCCATTACAGTCGGAGCAGCAGACTGGAACTCGCCGCCGCTCTGCGACAAACGGGATTTAAACTCCACTCAAACATCCAGCGTTGTCTCCATGACGATTTTCTTTGTTTATGCATTTTCATCTCAGAGAGATTTAGTCTACAACACTTAGAAACGCCGGCATGACCATCCATAAGTCGGTCCAAAAGACTCATTTAAAGGGTTTATGTCAATAATCTGTCATTCAATTGGACATTTTTGTGAATCCGTTGTAATTTAACAAATTAAAAGCCAAAATGTTTGGATTTTGCTTTTTTGTGCCATTTGATAGCAGCTTTCCAAGGAGAGATTCTTAGAATATTTACAGCTTTTCTTCTAAAGAATGTTTTATTTAATGGATTTAGCATCATGTCCAGTTCCGTTCCATCCGATAATGTGTTCCAGTTTAGTTCAGTTCATTTAAGTTTAACCAAATTACCATTCAGTTTTGTTCTAATTACATTTAGTCCAAATCGTTCAATTTCAGTCCAGTTTAGTTCAGTTAAAAATTGCATCAATACAGAAACATTCAGATTTAGTTCAAAATCCAATTTAATCTGAACTAAATGTGGTCTAATACTGTCCCATTTAAATCATATTTATTTGTGTAAAATCCAGTTCCCTAATATAATGTGCTACACCATTTAGTTCAGAGTCCAGTTCAAACCATCCAATTAACTCTTTTCCATTTCATCTTAGTCCAGTTGAATCTGACTGCGTTTCAGTTCAGTTACTTAAGACAAAGATTAAAATCCAGTTTCAAAACTTCTGATTCTGATTATTTAACTTCAGTTCAGTATAATTATGATTTGGTTGACCAGAGTATCTAATAAATCTGCATTCAGCCCAAGTCATTTCCAATCTGGACCGCAATTGAATCGATTATTCTATATTTAAAGAGACACTTCATCTTCCCTTCTATTCAGTTTGTTTACCTGACGACAATACAAACTTCTGAATGAAATTTGGCGACCAAATTTGAAAAAAGTGTTTAATGAAGATTTTCAATATCTAGATCTTTTTAAATAAACAATAATTTCATATTTTAAAAGTTGTGAAAGTAATTTTTGTTTTCTTCACTGCTTGGACGTTTCTTCCAACCAGCTTTTACAAAACAAGACAAATGTTGAGGTTTTAAATAAAAAGTCGGTCTTTTAATCAGAAATGCCTCCACCCAGCATTCACACAAATATTTGATTATCTGCGTTTTCTCGGTGCGACAAACGAAACGTCGACATAATAAATCTCATTCCTGCGAGTGTCCGTTTCCTGTCGGGCGTCAGTGATGAACTGGGACATCATAAAGTGCTGTTTTGTGTTAAGTTGTGGAAAAATCCAGTTTAGCCCAAAAATGTGGGGATTCTATTTTTGTTTTGTTTTAATTTGTGGTTTTGTTTTTGCTTTACAGGCATTCAGGAAACCATAATGCTGCTGTGGGGTTTTTAGAAAAGCAGCAGAATTTGTTTAAAGAAAGAATTTGATGTCCTTTCACGTGGAAGTCGTGGCCGTGCTGCTGTGTAAAAGCATTTTGTTGCTCTGCTATAAAATAAAAACAAACCTCTGATTGAGGGACTTTGGTTCAGAGAACCACAACCAGCAGAAACATGGCGGTCGTCATGGCCCCGCCCACGTCTCTGTATCTGTGGCTTCATCCCTCATCTCCTCCCCTGCCTGTCATTACAGGACCAGCCCTGATCACGCCGCTCCGGATGACGGGAGCTAACGAGCGTTTAGCCGTAGCGCTCGGGAGCGTGGCTCCACCCTTTAGGTCACCACAAGCAGCGTTTTATCTACACACGAGAAACGCAGAGCAGGTCCTCCTCCTCCTCTCTGTGGAGCTAATTTTATTCCAACTTTCTCTCTTTATTGCAGGTTTTTAACCACAAACACATGTTTGTATTTATTCTTTGCCCCTGAAATGACTTTAAAGCCGCAGCTGATTGAAGGGTCGTTGATTTAAAAAAAGATGAATGCTGGGAGAAGTTCAGGAATGTTCTCTGTAATAACATGGATAATATATTAAAAATGCTGATTTCTGCTTTACTTTTCTCATGTTTGGAGCCTTTGAAGCTTAAATAATTCACTTAAGTTACAAAATCAAATAAAAATCATCTTAAATTTGTTTTGGATTAAACAAAATTACAGTTTGACCTTTAGACTGAACACTGGAGGAGTTAAGGTGGGATTCGCCCATTTTCTGCACACACACACACACACACACACACACACACACACACACACACACACACACACACACACACACACACACACACCAGCCTTCATTGTCTCTCTTCATCATTTATCGTGTGGTCCTTTCTAATGACGCCACCTGTGTCAGCAGCGAGCAGTCCTCCGCGTGGCTCTTGGCGATTAGATTTTGTGGATTTGGGATTGCGTGCTCTCCCAGGTCACAGCTGGTCCATCTTGCCCTCGCCTCGGAGGAATCCTCCACCTTCCTTCGCATTTCCCGTCTGCAAACATCCGTCTCTGTCTCGTAGCATCACTCACATCGCTTCTCGTCGAGTGAGGTGCGAGCTGTCGGCCCAGGTCGAGTGATCCCAGTCGACACAAAGGCTTTTCCCATCAAGCATCATCAAAACTGGTTGTGTTAAAAAACAAGTCTCTGATGTTTTAGTCATCAGTAAGAATCGACTGTTTCAGTAATACTCAGGTGTTCCTTCAGGCCTTTTCACCATCAGACAAGGTCAAGCTCCATCACAGACTAACCTTGTTCATTCGTTGTAGAGTTTTTTTGTGAAAAGCTTTTATTTTGAAATCTGAAGCTTCGGAGCAGCATGTGATGCTCTGTGCTGTTCTACTGCTAAACTGGAATCAAGTCTATTTTCTCTATTTCTGGGAGAAACAAAATCGTTTTGGATCTTTTACGACTCTGATTTGGAAGATCTGTCTCATAACCCTGCTGCACCAACCAGCATATGATGTGTTTAGGTGCTGGTTTAGCTGGTGGACCAGCACCACACTGGTCCAACATGGGATGCTGGTCTAGCATCCAATCACCAGTATACCATGTTGGTCCACCAGCTAAACCAGCACAAAAACACAACCTATGCTGGTTTTTCCAGCAGGGAAACTAAATCTAAAACATATTATGACTCAGATTGAGCCTGAATAAACTCAGAATAAAATTAATGTGAGGAATAAATAGGAATATTCACATTTAAAGCAGAATATCAAACCTGTGTTTTAGTGAAGATGTTGATGTGTGCTCAGCTAAATATTTAGAAGCATCAATTCTGCTTTTTGAGGGCTGATACTGATTTATCTTCAGAACTATATGATCAGAAATGTTTCCTAATAAAGTCGTTTGATTAAACATGAGAAATATAATTCTGGAAGGTAAAAATCTGTTATTGCTGACAGGAACTGGCACATAGTAGTCATGTTTCCACTGTAGTTGTGGGAAATTTCTGCAGGAGAATGTGAAGTCTCAGTCCTCTCAGGCTTTGTGCTGAAATCGTCCCTTTCACAACTTTAAGAAGTCAGCATATCAGCAGTAAGGGATGTCTCTCATCAGCAGCAAAAGGTGTCTATGGACATTAATAACGTTAAAATTCATTACAGGGAGGAGGACAGCGGTTGTGTCACGTAGAAAGCAGCTTTAAATAACCAGAAGGAGCGTCTTTTTTACAGCGCTCTGTAAGACCACTAAGAACCATGAATGGGGGGGGGGGGGGACACACACACACACACAAATTAACCATTAATTAGTTGCCAATTAATATGCATATTAGTGAACTGCTGAGTCTGAACTTGAGTTTAATCAAAATAAGCCATTCATGATAGTTTGTTAACTGAAAGTAAATGGTTTGTTGCTGATTAACGCACAAACTGATTAGCTCAAATCAATATGTGGCTTTTAAAGAAGTAATTCAAAGGGAACATATTCTCGCCTTTAAGTGGTTAATTAATACTAAACTAAAGGTAATTAGGTATGAACAAAATCTTACTTTAGAACATATTTTTGCTTAAAAGTGATTAATTGATTGTTGTTTAGGTGCTGTTAACATGTGGAGTTTGGTGTTTATGTAAATAATACTAGAACATAATATTTTTGGTTATTAATGCCGAATAACTATTCCCCTTGAATTACTTCTTTAAAAGCCACATATTGATTTGAGCAAATTAGTATGTGTGTCAATCAGCAACAAATCATTTACTTTCAGTTAACAAACCATTATAAATGGTTTATTTTGATAAAACTCTTAATTTATGGCCTGTTAATATTAGAATTACAGCATTAGTAATAAGCTCTTAATAAGTGCTTAATAATGACTAATTCAGACTTATTAGTCCACCAATAAGCATATTAATTGGCAGCTAATTAATGGTTAATTTGTGTTCCCTAAACTAAAGTGTAACCGAAAAGCCTTTGGGACTTTAAACGTGGTGACCAGCAACTCTTCCATTTTTACAATGGCCCATTGTTTTGTCATCTCTGCAAAAATATCCTACTGAGTTACGACCAATCAGCTTGAGTTAACTACAAGTCCCGCCCAGAAACTCTACCAGGTCATTCCCGAATACGTACCTGAGCTCGGGCACTCCGTTGGCTCTTACAGCTGCTTTCCGGAGTTTTCCCCATTCAGAAATTATGTATGATTTGTCAGAAATCCGTAAAAGTGATTATCTTATCATAAACTGTGATATGATGTAAGCGATACGTCTATTTATTTATTTTTTTTGCTAAGCACGCCCCTGCCCCGCAGAGCTCTGTGCAAAAGGAAACTGAGCGCCAACCAGAACTAACCAATAACGTTAGACTTCCTCTTATTTGCTTCAAATTTAAGGAATACCTCGGCTGATGCAGAGTTGATGACCTTTTCACGGACAAGTAAGTCTCTAAAATATAAATATATGAGAACACAGCATGAAATGAGAATGATACTCGTACAACAGCGTGTTTTAACTCTGTCAGCTACAGAAGCACATTTATAAACAGAAACGTGAAGTCGCCATCTTAAAAAAACAAAGCAACAGACTTTTGTGTGATATGCTTGTCAGCCACTAGATGGCACCATGGGATAAGAGAAATACTCCAGAATGAAGCTTTACTGTGAGATGGCCTGGAAAAGGGTCTTTTCAGGCAGGCCCAGTTAAATAGAGACATGCTGTAAATCTTTGATAAATTTAACCAGAAGTTCTGGTAGTGGAGACAGCCCAGTGAGAACGAATTCACCGACCAGGAAAAGGTTGCTTGGCACTGGTGAATTCATGGGCTGGGAGGGGGAAAAATCTGATTTTTGAGTTTTGTATCAGCCACTTCCAGTGGTTTGGTGGGTTTCTAGGAATGAGCTATTCACTAAAATAGATTCATTTCTTTTCTGAGTTTAACTGCAAACATAAAGGTGAGTCTTTTGGGAGGATTCTCTACTAACAGGAAGTATGATCGAAACCCTTCATGTTTCCTTTTAAATGCTGCAGAAATGAGTTTATTGCTGTTGTGAAGAAAATCAAATACATTCCCATCAGTTTTATGAGTGTTGGGATGTTTTTAATGAGTTCAGTGTGGTTTGGTCGGTCTGTTTGTGCGTTTATGTGTGTGTGTGTTGGCTGTTGGACTCTCGGTGTCTGTGAGCGTCGAAAAATCAGTCAGACTCTCAAACCGAGTCACAACACAGACCCAGATGGCTCCGACGGGGAGGGGACAAAGATGTTGTTTCTGGAACATCTACAGGCGTCTGGAAGTGATTCTTAGAGATTATATAACTCCATTTAAGTCTGAAGATTTGTTTTTATGGGAATGTTTAACAGAAAGATCGAAAGTTAAAGCTGCAAAATCAAAAAATTCACATTTGGGGGTTTTGGAATGACAGTCGTGTGAAATCTGACCTCGTCTCTGTCTGCGTTAGAACGCGCCGCTCCATCCAAGCGTTTTTAAATCTCATCCCCATCATTTGTCCTCGCAGGTCCGGAGTGCTCCAGGAATTTCACCGCTCCCAGGGGCGTCATTGAGACGCCGGGATTCCCAGAGAAGTACCCCAACAACCTGGACTGCACCTTCATGATCTTTGCCCCCAGGATGTCGGAGATCGTGGTGGAGTTCGACAGCTTCAGCATGGAGCCCGATTCCACGCCGCCGCCGGGCGCCATCTGTCGATACGACTGGCTGGAGATCTGGGACGGATTCCCAGCAGGTGAGCAGACGGTTGGGATTAGAAAGCAGGAATTTACCTGAAGGATATGGAAAAGAGTATACACAAAGAGGAGGTTATAGCTTTATTTAGTTGTTGGTTTAATGTCAAAAAGAGGATGTAAAACACCGAATATGATGATTTATCACAATGCCAAACGTACATTTAGGCCTGTTTCACAGCCTGGATTGAGTCAGTACAAATAGAATGAAAAGATCAGAACATAAAAGTAAAACTTTTGTGTTGTTCTGTCTACAAACTGACATTTAAAAGCACAAGAGCGTTTCTGGTGTTTTCATCTGTGAGGTAAAACCTGAAGCTTAGAGAAGAATATCAGTGAAGAGGAGAAAAGATCAGGAGGTGTGAAGGAGAAAGACTCTTAATAATTGAAGAGCTGCTCTGTAGTTGGAAGGTAGGATCTCTGAGTGTGTGTGTGTGTGTGTGGGGGGGGGGGGGGGGGGGGGGCAGAAGACAAGAAACGGTGTGAAAACCCAAAGATGTGAGTCTTCCCTGCAGGTCGGACCAGCCTGGATTCATGGATGGAGGTGAACCTTTTACTATAAAATAAAACACGCCTCCATCCTTACATCTATTTTCCACCTCTTATCCAAGGTCTGGTTACAGAGATATCCGGTCCGGCATGCCTCATCCTCTCCAGCTCCTCCTGGGGAAATCCAAAGTGTTCTCATTCCAGGGAGGATATATAATCCCCTCCGGTGAGTCCTGGGATCTCCTCTCGGTGGCCAGAAAACCCTGAGGAGCACAGCCAGGAGGCTTCCTAATCAAATGTGTGAACCTCCTCCTGGATGATGGAACTCCTAAACTCTGCTTCTTTTGGGTGGTGATTCAGACCAGATAGACCATGTGTGGACCTCCCTCTCCTCTACAACAAACCAGAGCAGCATTCCTTCATAATGAAGAAGAATTCCTGATCCGTTGCTTCATCCCTCCATTCCTAATTCTAACTCCAAGATGCTTCAGCTTCAGCTTGGTTAGTTTATTCAGAGGAATGGTGTAAAGTGAGATTGTGAGTAACAAACAGAATCGAGCAGCAGGTAGGCATCATCGTTCTGGTTTTCCCGAGCTGGAGGAGACACTCCTACGCAGCTTGCTCATTGTTTCTGTACCCACCACTTCTGGGAAAATCAGAACACGAGCGAAGGAGCTGCAACCTGCTCTACCCTCTGTTCACACTCCTCCTCCGCTGCCTAATTAACCGTGGCTGCGCACAGATAACCGTCAGAGCCAGGACGCTCACAATACTCACCGCCGTGTCCAAAGCTGTTCCCTGATTATTGCCAGGGAGGAGACTAGCACGGGAATGCCAGAAACATGAGGGCTGGCACAGGTACACAGACGGTGAGACACACTCCAGAGCCGAGCCAACGGACACAACCTGTCAGAGGGCGTGTGTGTGTGTGTGTGTGTGTGTGTGTGTGTGTGTGTGTGTGTGTGTGTGTGTGTGTGTGTGTGTGTGTGTGTGTGTGTGTGTCAGAGCAGATAAGAGTTCAGACCAGGATTTTGTTCCTCAGCCCATAAACCTCTCCCGCGGTGAAAACACGGGCATGAAATGTTCCCATCCTGGAGCTCGTTTTCTCAGATTGGATCTTCTAAAGGAAATTTCTAAAGGAGACACGGCTTTTCTGATTAAACGTAATCAAACAAACATCTGGTTCTCATCATTAATTGTTCAGACAGAAATCCAACAGCTCACTGCAGTTTAATCAGATTTATAACATCTTTGTTTCTTTTTTTCCTACAACAAAAGGAAATAGTTCAAACATTTTGGTCTTTCTGCCTCATTTAATGTGTTTATTTGGTTGTTTGGATTGATTTAAAAGAGCAAAACTCTTTATCTTTGTGTGAATTTATCTTTCTACGCTTTTTCCTCCTCACACAACCTCCTCCTTCTATCCATGTGACGCCTGGGCGCCCACAGGACCTTTTTCCTTATTAAGGAGCGTGATAAGGCTGAAACAGCTCCCAACGTAACCACCGACTCTAGCTTCAAACTGTAGCTGATAAACATAATCCATCAGATTACGGAGGCCGGCGGTCCACCGGTTCTGTTTCTGTCGTTTTGACTCTGAAGCTGAAAGAAATAGTTAGAAATATCTTTCTGTTGTTTGTGAAACGTAGAATCGGCCTCTGGTTCATTAGCAGTCATTAATAACCACGGCTCCGTTAGCCGCGGCACAGAAAACCTGCTGAAAATATCAAAACCTCCATTTGCATTTAGATTTGAAATTTAAATGAAAATCAGCCCAAAAGTTGAGATATAACAAACAATGATGTTAACTCAGTTCATTTGAATGCTTCTAGTCTTATAATTAATGTTTTCCTTCTTAATTGTTATTTTTCCCCTAAAAACTAAATGAAACGGAAAGTTATTTGTTCAGCTAGGACAGAAAATAATTAGATTATGGAAATTAATTCAGAGGTTCAGTCAGAATCATTTTTATGAAAAGACTTTTGCAATTAAAGTATTTATTTATAGTTTTTGACTTTTTTTTTGCTCTGAGAGCAGAAACATTTTCCCAGAAGTCTGCAGAGCAGCAAAGACAAAGATGAAGGATTTCTTCACGTTTCTGCAGAACTACATCCAGTTTGTACCTTTAACACAGAGTTACGTTCAGTCCGAGGTGTCTACGTGATTCATCTGTACAAATAAATGCAGAAATCAGTCATTTAAAGTATGAGAACAAGTGGCCATGAAGTCGGTTGCTAATATTTGCATGTTCTGCTCATCGTTGGATGATTTAAAGCAAATAAAAGTCTGCATTTAGCTTTACTTAATGGTTGCATTATGGAACCAACCAGTCTGCATTTTTAAAATACATCTTGCACGTTTTTGCTTTTATCTAAATAATTCAGACATGTCGGTGTGCGATCGCTCACAGGATTCGTGTACCAGAGTCTGTTCTCCACTGATCTGATCCTACCGTACATATATGGTGTCAGGGTGGTGGGTGTCAGAACAATGTGCGGTGGAAATGAGTGTTTCTGCTTCTGTCATCTCACCTTATCACCCAGTAGAGGTGAGAGATTGAAACTGACAGGATGGAGGAGGAGGACGTTTTTAGCCTTTTCATTTAAAGTGAGCCTTTCCTAAACCCGGTTCTGTATAAATAAAATAAAACAGGCGTGTGATAGACCCTCTGGTCCCACAGTGGGCCCTCACATCGGCAGATACTGCGGCAGAACGTCTCCGGGGCGAGTCATCTCCTACACAGGCGTCCTGTCCATGACCATCACCACCGACAACGCCATTGCCAAGGAGGGATTCTCAGCCAACTACACCATCCGTGAGAGGAGCCTCCCACCTGGGCACGACGACCAAGGTGAGCCGCTGGGTGACACGGGGGAGGAGGAGTGATGTAGAGGAGACATGGAGGAGTTTCAGAGCTGATGGAACACGTTAAATCCATGCAGCTTTTTCAGAACATCCCTTTTATTTATTTATCTGTGAAGATGCCGTCTGTCTGTGTTGGTCTGGTGGACCTCACGTCTCTAAACATCTCACACACATTTCCTTCCATGCCTTCCTCTCTTCTCCTTCCCAAAGCCGACACCCCCGAGTCTCCAGTGGTCTGCTGCCCTTTCTCTTATTCCTCTGCTATTTTAATACAACTTTGCCTGTATTAAAGAAGTCCAACTAAAGAGCCTCCTTCTGTTTACAGATAGTACACGCGCAATCCAGACTTCCTGTTTATCTGATTTATTTCTGCTTTACAATCTGAGCTTCTGTGGATCTCTGTCAGATTTTGCCTGCATGGAACCTCTGGGTATGGAGACGGGGGAGATCTCCTCGGACCAGATCTCTGCCTCCTCCAAGTACAACTCCAACTGGTCCCCGGAACGCTCCCGCCTCAACTACCAGGAGAACGGCTGGACGCCCTCAGATGACAACATCAGGGAGTGGATTCAGGTGAGTTAAGTCAGAGTACACGTGTGGAACCGACGTCCTCTGGTTTCACACGGGTGAGATTTTACACCATTAAAGGAAGTTTAGACCTTCATGTAGTTTGTTAGTTCAACAGCAGAAAGGACAGCAAATCAGATTACTTTGGTTGTGTTTTTGTTTGTTTCTCCGTTGGGTAGAAACCGGGATAACACATTGAGGAGTTTTAAAGTTTTTGTTAATAAAGTTTTCGCTCAGTTCACAGATCAAAATTCAATCATTTGGTTCTGGTTGATCCAGATTTGAACCCTGAAGAGAGTCGGTCCCGTTTAGCTTCAGCTTTATTTGCCCTGATTTTCTTCTAATTACATTTTAAAGCCTAACCTTGCAGCTTGTTTTTCATACGAGGGTTGGACCAATGAAACAAACTCTGATTCTCTCAGTGGGAGCCGGTCTGGTAAGATTCCTTCAAACAGCGTAGAAGTGCGGCTGGAGTTCAGGACTGTGCCATTGTCCAGGACAGGAATTCATAGAGGAAGACCCACAGAGTCCCGTGTTACAGGAGCAGACCCTCACTTCCCTCCTGCGGGGGTTCAAACAGGAAGTAGACAGGAAGATGGCCTGAGCACCGGATTAGTAATCAAAGCTTTCTATTGTCTGTCTGGGGACGTCTTTTAGCTCCCGGCTGTCAGCGGGTGTCTCTGGGAGCTCGTTGAGGTCAGTTGGGTTATTAACTTTGAGAGTTGGATTTAAGTCTCAGAAGACAAAATATTTTTTAATTTGTGTTTTCTTGAAAAAACTCAGTGGACTAAAGTCAAGAATGGAGCTGATACTGAGTAAAAATCATAGTTTTTAATAACAGAATTTAACAAATTAGTTATATGATTTAAGTCGTATGTGATGCTTATAAACACCGGGCCTGCTCTGTGGTACTTCATGCTTTTTTACTCTGCACCCTGTTAAATTCGGCCACAAATGACCCATTCTGAATCCTCATCAACCTTTATGACCACCATTAATGAGCTCAGAAAGTACGTCTCACTGTGTCACAGTAAATAATAACGAGTTTTGGATCAGTAAACATGCAGCCAACATGCCGCTGTGCTCCAGATCTTTATTGTTTGATGGTGAACAAAAGACATAGGTGGTGGAGTTAACGCAGAGTTATCCTTTTACATTCGTATCCTTTATTTTTATGCGTACTTTTATTCAAAGGTTGTGCTTCAAACTCCTTTGGGCACCAACGCTGAGCGACACCTTTATGCTAGCTGAGATGTGGAGCTAAAAGTCAGGCCTACTTACCTTTTTACAGGTCTCAAACTCATTACACCTGAACTTATCAGAATAATTAATCTATAATGAATAGGGCTGGGAAAATAAGGACTTGTTTTCATCTAATCTAACAAATCATTTAACACTTTTTTTTAATCATTTTTGTTTTAAATGTATGATGTTTTCTGGCTCTGAACTCACAGAGGAGCCCTGAGTCTCAGCAGGGCGTGGATCTTCATCCCTATTGGTTGGGATGACTGCCATCCCTCATCTTAACCAATGAGATTATTCAGGGTGGAGCTAAGACTGGTACAATGCTCACATGAACCAGAATTAAATAAACGGAGAACATCACCGGTCTTTTACTCAAACATGTTCATCCTTCTGCTGGAGAATTAGTGCACTACAGCACCTTCACGGTAGTTAATCATGATACCTCAACGTGTGTGTGTGTGTGTGTGTGTGTGTGTGTGTGTGTGTGTGTGTGTGTGTGTGCGTGTGTGTGTCTCTGTGGCAAAGCTCCAGGGGTGGATGAGACCCGCCCGGAGTTCCTTAAGGCTCTGGATGTTGTGGGGCTGTGTTGGCTGACACGGCTCTGCAATAACGCGTGGACATTGGGGGCAGTCCCACTGGACTGGCAGACCGGGGTGGTGCTCCCCTTATTTAAAAAGGGGGACCGCAGGGTGTGTTCCAACTACAGGGGGATCACACTCCTGAGCCTTCCTGGTAAGGTCTATTCAGGTTCTGGAGAGGAGGGTCCGTCGGATTGTTGAACCTCAGATTCAGGAGGAGCAATGTGGTTTTCGTCCTGGCCGTGGAACACTAGACCAGCTCTATACCCTTAGGGGGATCTTGGAGGGTGCGTGGGAATTTGCCCAACCAGTCTACATGTGTTTTGTGGATTTGGAGAAGGCGTTTGACCGCGTCCCTCGGGGGGCCCTGTGGGGGGTACTCCGGGAGTATGGGGTACCAGGCCCTCTGATACGGGCTGTTAGGTCCCTGTATGACCGGTGTCAGAGCTTGGTCCGCATTGCCAGCAGTAAGTCGGGCTCGTTCCCAGTGGGAGTTGTACTCCGCCAAGGCTGCCCTTTGACACCAATTCTGTTCATAACCTTTATGGACAGGATTTCTAGGCACAGCCAAGGTGTGGAGGGCATCTGTTTTGGTGGCCTGAGGATCAGGTCTCTACTTTTTGCAGATGATGTGGTCCTGTTGGCTTCATCAGAACGTGATCTTCAGCTTTCGCTGGAGCGGTTCACAGCCGAGTGTGAAGCAGCTGGGATGAGAATCAGCTCCTCTAAATCTGAGACCATGGTCTTGATTCAGAAAAGGGTAGAATGTCTTCTCTGGGTCAGGGATGAGGTCCTGCCCCAAGTGGAGGAGTTTAAGTATCTCGGGGTCTTGTTCACAAGTGACGGAAAACTGGAGCGTGAGATCGATAGGCGGATTGGTGCTGCATCTGCAGTGATGCGTGCGTTGTACCGGTCTGTCATGGTGAAGAGAGAGCTGAGTCAGAAGGCGAAGCTCTCGATTTACCGGTCGATCTACGTTCCTACCCTCACCTATGGTCATGAGCTTTGGGTAGTGACCAAAAGAACGAGATCGCGGATACAAGCGGCCGAAATGAGTTTTCTCCGAATAGTGGCTGGGCTCACTCTTAGAGATAGGGTGAGAAGCTCGATCATTCGGGAGGGGCTCGGAGTAGACCCGCTGCTCCTCCACATCGAGAGGAGCCAGTTGAGTTGGCTCGGGCATCTGGTCAGGATGCCTCCTGGATGCCTCCCTGGTGAGGTTTTCCAGGCACGTCCAACCGGGAGGAGGCCTAAAGGTAGACCCAGGACACGGTGGAGGGACTATGTCTCTCACCTGGTCAGGGAACACATTGGTATTCCCCCGGAGGAGCTGGCCCAAGTGGCTGGGGAGAGGGAAGTCTGGGCCTCTCGCCTTAGGCTACTGCCCCCGCGACCTGACTCCGGATAAGCGGATGAAAATGGATGGATTTAAATTTATGGGACCATCTGTAATTTCTGAAGATTTGCATAAAGTTTCGTGTATTTCATTGGGTTTTTTTTTTGTTTGTTTGATTTGATTCTTAAAGAATATTTATTTAACCCTCTGGAGGCAGGCGTTTGCAACGTTAAAACCCACCTACCTGGTTACTCCACAAATGGATTTCATGAGCATTTTTTAACTCAGAAGTACCCCTGAAGGACTTAGTTGTTCGTCCTTTTATCAAAACTTGTTTTGAGCCTGAGACGGTTAAACCAAAGATCGTCTCTAGTGTCGGTGTAGGCGCTGGGATCTGGGTAACGTTTCTCATCAGACACTCAGACTTCCTGTTTTAGTTTTTAATCAAATCCAGCTGGATTCTTTGACTTATTCTGTTCTGTGATTTAATGAAGCACTAATTAGACAACCATCCCATGACAAGGAAAATGTGAGATTATCCCGTTTTTCCCATCAGGACTGAGTGAATGTGGGAAACCACAGGGAGGTGACGGAAGATTTACACTAGCAGACATTTTTATCTGCAGTCTGAATCTTTAGCTTGGATTAGCATGTGAGGTTGTGCATTTAAAACCAACTGAAGCCACTCTCAGACTGTCGCTCTGATCCCGTCCCAACCCTCTTCCGTACGGCGTTCCATTCATCTTGTCACACTCGGTTACGTCTTACATGCCTGTCCTCTCAAACAGCGAGCACCTCCATTATTCATTTAAAGGCATTTATATTTTATTGACACTATTTTAGGGACATTATTTATGATGTTGTTGGGGGGATGTTGCCCCGCGGCGGCCTGCATGGCGGCAGACAGTGAGCTCATTGTGCTGCTTCCTTGTAAATCTGCAAATCATTTTTCTCGCAGTAGTGACTCACGTCATGAGTACGCTGATGAAATTAACCCCTTAAACCATATTTTTATGGATGTAGCTTAAATACTGCACCAGTAGGATTAAAGTAAAAAGGACAATAAGAAGAAAGTTAGAATTAAAGACTCTGGATTTCAACGTCTTCTGGGAATAAAATGGTCCAATCCTGTTATTGAGAGCAGGAAAGGCTTCCTTCATTCGGGTATTTATAGACTCCCTGCTGTTTGTCTTCTGAGCCTCTGACGCCACCAGGAAGAGCTCCACTTGGTACATCTGGAGAAGACGTTTGGGCTCTCAGGGAGATAGGAGGTCAGGAAGGTTATCCTAAAATAAACCACTGACCAGCAGGAATCTCAGCCATGAAAAAAATCAAAATTTGACTCTCCTAAATCTAATTTCAGCAAAATGTTCCTTCTTCTCTAAATGTCAGCGCGTCCTTTAGAGGATTCCTGTGACGAATGTGGTGATAAAAGCTTCAGTTATCAGTTAAAAGTCAAACACAAGATCTTCCAGCAGTCGTCCGCAAGGAAATCCCCAGTAATATCTTAGGTTTGGCTGGTTTAATGAGAAGAAGAAGAAAAGATCATTTCTATAGCGCCTCTCAAGATAAAATCACGAGGCGCTTCACAAAAACAAAAAATGTAAAATATAAAAAAGAATTTAGAAAATTATTACAGATATATTTAAAATGAGCTAAAATAGACAATTGTGATTAAAAAATGTTAAGAAAGTGAGAGAGTGAACAGGAAAGAGGGAAATCAGTGGATCCTGAGGAAGGTGGAATAGGTGGGGAGAGCAGAGTAAAGAGAGAGTGGTGAAGAAGGTCATACAAAAGCCAGCTTGAACATGTGAGTCTTCAGCTGCTTTTTAAAGGAGACCACTGAGTCCACTGATCTCAGGCTCAGGGGGAGAGAGTTCTAGAGTCTGGGGGCCACAGCAGCAGATGATCTGTCACCTTTGACCTTTAGCCTGGTGCTGCACAACCAGTAGTCTTTGATCACTGGACCTCATGGACCTGCTGGGGGTGTAGGGACTTATGAAAGTTATTTCAGATTAGTAGATGAGAGGTTCTCACACATCATCTGAATCTCTTCATCTTCAATAAGGTTGCTTTGTCTAACTCAAGCAGTCATTAGGCAAAATGCAGGGGACACCCTGGCCATGTCCCCGTCCATCTCAGGGACATACAAAAACCAGTCTCACACTCACTCACACCAAAAGAACAAGTCACCTCTAAGTAGGGTTGGGCATCGAGCATCGATAGGAACCGGTTCCAACTGTTAGTTTTTCCCGGAATCGTTCCAAGTTTTTTTTTTTCGATTCCTAGTTTCGATTCCTAGAATGCCAACAGAAGAGGAATCTGCGGCCGAACTCCATGAAAAATAAACGTGATCTGCAAATTGTGATCAACACTTTTCAGAGCTGATCACACCAGCTGTCTTGTGTGCAGCACCGAGTCCCTCCCTCCCCCCACCTGGCGCGCAGCGGCCAGATATAAACCAACGCGTCTGCCAAACTTTTTCTCCGTAATGTAAACTTTAACTCCTGCAGCGTAAACGTGTTAAAATACGTCAACACTGTCATGACTCTCATTTTTCAGCCTTCATTCAGCTCACCTGGTCCCCTCACCAAGCTCCTGACAAGCCCTGTTTCCCTGGCAACCACCATCAACTCCATTCATCTCACCTGTTCCTGTAATCAGCTTCATCCACTTCACCTGCTCCTGACTCCTCAGCTCATCTCACATACCTGCTTCCCCTGCTATAAATGAACCATCCTGCTACACAGTCTCTGCCAGATTATTGAAAACTTTGTGCCAGTAAATTCTCCAGCCATCCACCCTGCCTGATCTCTGCCTCCGGACCTCGTTTTTCTCCTGACCCCTGCCTTGAACTCTGCCTGCCTCCATGACCTTCGCCTGTCCTCAACCTCACCTCTTGCCTGTTCCCCGTATCTGCATGTCCGATCTGGATTTTGACCCTCGCCTCCTCTCCGACTCTGTCTCCAGCCTCACCCAACTCTGGTAACTCTGCATCCTAATAAAGACTTTTTATTTTACTCTCATTGTGTTTGGCGTCTTCATGGGTCTTCCTAGTTCTATTCGTGACAAACACGGTGGCTTTAATAGAAGCTTTAGAGAACAAACTCTGGACTGTGTGAGGTAAGTTTGTCTCACTGCAGAATAAAAACACACACGGAGCGTCAGCAGTCAGACGCAGACGCTCACCAACACTCGTGTGTGTGTGTGTGTGTGTGTGTGTGTGTGTGTGTGTGTGTGTGTGTGTGTGTGTGTGTGTGTGTGTGTGTGTGTGTGTGTGTGTGTGTGTGTGTGTGTGTGTGTCTGTCTGTGTGTGTGTGTGTGTGTGTGTGTGTGTGTGTGTGTGTGTCAGAAGGCTGAACAATAACCTGTAGAATAATTCAAGTCATCATGCTAGAGCAGCTTCTCTGTGGTGGACCACACCAGCTTCTGCCACAATAAATAATAATAATAACAATAATAATAATAAATAACATTTTTTATTTCCTTTAACTATTTCTGTTGAGTTTTAATGTTTAAAATCTGTTAGATTGTTATTGACAGCTGCTATGTTTAAGTTTCACTTTCTGTTCTGACTGAACGGCTGCTGCAGCCTGTAGGAAAACAGCTGGAGGAAAACAGCTGGACGTTTCTGGATATGTTGGAGACATTTAGCCTCTCATCCCAGAGGCTTCTTCCAGACTTTGGTTGTGGTCAGAGACAAACACACTGGTTGTGCTGCAAGTCTTTTTCTTTTTTTCTCCAAAACATGTTTTTGTCTAAATGAAGATGATGTTATTGTTCATAGAATTAAAATTCATGTTGAAGTTAAGATTATTTCATCAAGTAGGTCCTGTGGTTAGCTGGCTCATTTAAAACATGTCATGTCTTGAAAGAATCTGAATCGGGAATCGATAGGAACCGGAATCGAAATGAGGAATTGGAATCGGAATCAGTCATTCAAAATCAAACGATGCCCAACCCTACCTCTGTCAACTTTTTTTTGCTGATCAACTATATAAATGTGTGTTATCCTGCTGTAGACACAAGTAATAGTTTGGCAGTTTAGTGCATCTTATTTAAAATTTAAAATTTCTGCCTAAAACTGTCAGTGTTGTGCCCCCTTCAGGTAAAAACACTGAACTGCATTTTAATTTAAACCTGGCATCTCTATTGGCTAAGAGGTACCCTGTGATGTTAACTGGTACCATATGATGTCACAATGCCTGTGTGTGTGTGTGTGTGTGTGTGTGTGTGTGTGTGTGTGTGTGTGTGTGTGTGTGTGTGTGTGTGTGTGAACAGCTCCGCCTGATCTGTCTGCCAGGCAACGCCTCCTTGTGGTGCATTTTTCAAACAGGAAATGAGAGTGGAGTAAAACTGATCGGGGAGACTTGCTTAACCTAGTGCGCATGTTTGTGGTCTGTGTGAGGAAACCTACTTTCTCGCTTCGGCAGCATTGTTACCGCCTCTCATACGGTTTTTAAACTACCAAAGGAATAAAACACACTCCCTAAAACTCTTTTCTTGAATAGGATGGGTGCATTTATGACCCAGTGTAGTTAAAAGTTTTTCTTCGTATGAAATACATCAACTTCTGCTGCCAGTTTTTCCTTGTTCATTTAACAATGAGTGCTGTTTTTGTGTAAACATGTTTTTAGTTTTTTATTTATTCATTCATTCATTCATTTGCTTCTGTTCAAAATCTGAATTTCCTCTGTTTTCATACAGATGTAAAATATCAGCTCACCCTGGTGGCTGGTTCCAGGTTTTAAGCCCCGCCCCCTCCGTGTAATTAAATAAATGTAAATGTTTCATTGAAATGTTTTAAGTACTCCCATGAAGGAAATTCTGTTGATTCACGTGGTTGGCAGTTCTCATCACAGCTCATTCCAGCAGTTAGCCGCGCCGTTAGCATGTTCCCCCAGCACAGACTAACAAAATGCATGTTGGGCTGGTTGTAGGCTCTGGATTGTCCCTACAACAACATTTACCACACACAACCTTTTGATGTATGTTTAGTGTAAACAAGCGATGTGTCTCGTGGGAAATTAGTGGACAACAGACCTGAGTGCGTCTGCGAGCGATCCCTTGCAACCTGATTTCCCAGGGCTCTCCTTGTCAGTCCCGGAGTCAGCAGAGACCTGCAGGGTGCCGTTCCCTGCTCTTTCTTCCTGAAAAAGCAACAGTAGGAGACGTGGACTGCCGCCGTCTACAGCAGCATCTCCACGCTCTTGTAATTACACACCATCGACAACAAGATCTGGCTCCAAACTCAACAAGCACATGATTCTCTTCAGCTGGAGCGCCGCCACTTCTGTTCCATGCTGATTTTCCGCTCTAATACAGAGAAAATGAAAGTGATAATTTATATGTGGAGTTCCAGAACAACCTGATAAGCTCTGGTCTTTGCTAAGAGTGTAAACTGTTATCGCTGCTGCTCGGTTTGATGATAACCATCAATTTATTCATCTTTCTTTAAAAACACGTACATAGATTAGCAGCCAGATGAAATTTCAGCCTCGGAACAGGGATTCCTTATCTGGTTTTTAGCTCTAAGATCATAATTTCATTTTAAAAAAGTCAAAAAGTGTTTTCAAGAAGTGGGATTCGGTCACTGGAACTGCACAGGGGGATAAAGAACTTCTTAGAAAAGTGAAGTGCTTGATTAAAAATAGAATGATCCCCTTTGATCATTGCAAAGAGAACAATAATTGAGTTTGACTTCATTCATCTTCGACCAAAAGCTAAATCAAATCACTTGCAATTGGATTTCTTTTGGAATTTTGGAAATGTTTAGAGAGTGGTGAGACGTTAAACTCAGTTAAACTGGTTTCATCCTCCGTTGTGATAATTGAACTTAAACACGTTGAGTTTATCGAGTTTAAAATAACGTTTGGACTCGCAAACAAACTCGGGACAGGTCCGGCAGCAGCTGCTAAGAATCCAAGCTGCTCCCACATTCCCACAAACATTCTAGAGACTTCCCAATCCGTTTAACACGGACCGGTTTCTTAGGTCGGTGTCCACTCAAACCAGGATCAAACAGAATAATGATTACTAAATCGAACAAGGCGCAGGTGCTCGACAGCGAGGGCTCCATCTCACTCTTCCCTTCTTCATAGAATAATTACGCTTGTCATTATTTAGTCCTAATGTTTCTGTAGACCGTGCTCATCCCTCCAGCATGCCGCTGCAACCCTTCTCTCTCTAATCCGTTTAATGCTCTGTTTCCATTCACCCAGGTGAAACCAGGTCGTTTACAGCTCTAAATCTATTTAACTAATATGTAAAAAAGCTTAAATGTAATAAAAATGTATAAAAACTTCTGTTTAAAGACTAGGTAAGAAACACTTTCTTGAGTATAAAGCAAGCATGCTAAAGTGACATGACCCTGTGTCTAAACTCATGTGGCCTTCAAAATAAAAGCTTCAGATATTTATACTACAGACGTAAATGTTATCTAACTGTGTGATTGGTTAAACCTCAGGTCGCTGTCTACCTTTAGCTAACTTTGAGATGTTTAGCTGGTTTTTGCTAGCAGCTGAAATAATTAACTAGATTATAACATCTTTGTGTTTTTAACTATTTATTTATTTTATATTTTAATTCTTCTAACCTCAGCATTTTATTGTATTTCAGCAATGACCCTTAACGGTTCGCTAACCAAGAACAAAACATTTCCAGTCTGATTCCGATTCACTTGGACACTATTTACCTGTTCGTGTAACTCTTGGTGTCTCCAGGTGGACCTTGGCTTTCTCAGATTCGTCTCAGCGATCGGGACTCAGGGTGCCATTTCCAAAGAGACCAAGAAACATTACTACGTCCGCTCCTACAAGGTGGACCTGAGCTCCAACGGAGAGGACTGGGTCACGGTGAAGGAGGACTCCAAGCAGAAGGTAACCACGAGTGACTCACTTATTTATTTGTTTTTATTTATTTAATAGTGACGACTAATTAGGAAAGTTAAAGTGCTGAATCAGCATCTGAAGTTTCAAAATCAGATGAAATTTAAGGAAACAGCATTAAATTATTATTCCTGATTATTTGGGTTAAAAGTCCAAATAAACAGAATGTTTAACCATTTATTTTCATTTATAACTTTAGTTGTTTTTGTTTGATCACAGTAAAAGTACCCCACAGTGAGGTCACAGTGAAGCTCAGGGTTCCTCCTGCAGGAACATAAACATCAGAACGTTTTTTTTTCTTCTCAGATCTTTCAGGGTAACCACAACCCGACAGACGAAGTCCGCGCCATCCTCCCCAAACCCACTCTGACTCGCTACATCCGGATCCGCCCTATGACCTGGGAGCAAGGCATCTGCATGCGCTTTGAGCTCTACGGCTGCAGGATTTCAGGTAGCTGCAGCTACTTCTACAGATGCTTCACACACATTCCCTCAAAGTGTTTTTCTTTTTGCTCATCATGAATCAAACCAACATCTAGGCAGGTTGAGAATCTCCCGCCGTTCTCTGTTGATTTGAAATAATTGTTGCCTCCAAAGAGAGCGTAAACTCCCGCAGAAGGACACGATTATTCGTTACGGTAAAGCAGAGCAGAACCTTCCAGGCTCATTAATCATCCTCTAACACGGTTCTGGCTCTCCACTGAGCTGCAACCAAGTCTCAGGAGGAGAGATGTAGCTCGCTGGAGAACAGGCAGTAGATTCAGGAGATACAGAGCCAACCAACACATTTAGCTAGCTGTCCTCCACAGCAGAGGTTGTAGAGGTAGTCCTGCTTCTGATCCAGACCCCCTCCCATCTCTCCCATAGACTACCCCTGCTCTGTGATGCTGGGGATGGTGTCAGGTCTGGTCTCTGACGCTCAGATCAGCGCCTCGTCCTTCGCCGACCGTGGCTGGGTGGCCGAGAACGTCCGGTTGTTAACGGGGAGGTCGGGCTGGACTGGCCAGCAGACCAAACAGCCTTTCAGGAACGAGTGGCTGCAGGTGCGTGCACGTTTTACCTGTCCAAGCTTACAGGTGAGAATAGATGCTAATAGATGCTAACAGACGTAGCAGACATCTTCTGTAGTTTTAGAGTTGTTCTTTGATCAGGGAACCATTTTTCTGTCTCTGTGACGTTTGCTCCCGGGTAGGTGGACCTGGGCCAGGACAAGATGATGAGCGGCCTGGTGATCCAGGGAGGGAAACACCGGGACCGCAACGTCTTCATGAAGAGGTTCAAGGTGGCCCACAGCCTGGACGGAGAGACCTGGACCATGGTGAAGGAGGAAAACACCACCAGACCCAAGGTGAATCAAACCCAACAGACCTCTGGTTCTGATCCACAACAGGAAGTCCCTGCTTAGACCCTGTTTCCTGTTCTATTCTGGCCCAGTTTGGTGCCACGTCCTCCTTTATGTATTCCATATGGAGCGGGTCCAGCCATCAGACTCCTGCTGGTTTACTGTAGATGGAGATCTCCACACGCCTCCTTCCTCACATTTACTCTGTTTCCTGTTCTGTTACTCAGAAGTAGAACCAGGGAGGCTCGGACCGGACTGGTACCGGGCCTGGCACCGCCTGCAGCACCAACACTCCACTGACCGATTAGTACAAATTAAAGTTGTATGTTGTGGTTTAGATGTAGAAACATAAACATCATGTTCTCGGGTGCTTCCAGTTATGAATATGAAAAGATGTCACAAAACCGCAGTTTAGCATCAACTCAGACACGTTTACACTCCTTTATGTTTCTTGTAGGTCTTTGTGGGAAATCAGAACCACGAAACTCCAGAACTCAGATCAGTCGGGTCGCTTCTGACCCGATTCGTCCGGATTTACCCTGAGAGGGCGACCATCGAGGGGGTGGGGCTCCGACTGGAGCTGCTGGGCTGTGAACTGGACGGTGAGTGAGTTTGTGCGTGTGTGTGTGTGCGCGTGTTTGTGCGCGTGTGTGTGCGTGTGTGTGTTTGTGTGTGTGTGTGTGTGTGTGTGTGTGTGTGTGTGTGTGTGTGTGTGTTTGTGTGTTTGTGTGTGTGTGTGTGTGTGTGTGTGTGTGTGTGTGTGTGTGTGTGTGTGTGTGTGTGTGTGTGTGTGTGTGTGTGTGTGTGTGTGTGTGTGTTCTTATTATCCATCATATTTCAGCAGATTAAGAGTATGAAACAGATTTTTTATTTCCACACCTCTGAATCAGATTCCAGGTTTTATCCTTGACCTTTGCCAAAAATCATCACATCAGTTCAGCGTGTGTCGCATTTGAAACGGTCCGAGCGGAAACATGTTCTCTGTTCTCCTGTTAGAGATGATTCTTTCATCTCTTTGCGGTGATGCTGTTTTATTTCGCCCACTCCTAATTTCTTCACTTTAATTTAAAGCATCCATTTCTCCACTGGAGCATTTAGAAAGTCGTCAGGAAAGCTGCTGTAAGATTCTTGACGTTCCACATGCATTCTGGGTGTTTTCCTGCAGCGTTTGTCTGCTTACTGCTGGTCTGAAGAGGCAGTGAGCAGATCAGAGTCTGAGGGTTTGTTTCTGCGCTGCAGCAGCAGTCCGACTAGGGCGAGGAGGGGCGTGACCCCCTCACAGGAGGCTGAGGGGGAAGTGGGCTCTCTGGTGGAGTATCTGGTTCCCCTCCAGGGACAGAGATAAGAATCAGCCAGAGAGGACATGAAAGATGGAGTCGCATCTGAATTTGCTCAGAAACCATAAAAGTCTCCCAGGTTTTGTGATGTTTTTGTGCGGGTTGGCAGGTGAGACGCAGCTCAGAGAAAATGACAGACGCCTTATTTACTCTGCAGCTGATGCCATGGCAACAGCAGCAGCACCTTTGGATGGTTTTTGCTTTAGAAAAATAGAAAAGTGACACACTTCCTGTTAGACTCAAACCTGCTTCAGTACATAAAACCTTTTTTTTTGTTTGAATCACTCATTTTAATATTTAAACTCAAATGTTACTTAAAACCAGATAGATTTTTCCAGGGCGTAACGGTTCTCTTAGGGAGTGTAACGTTTCCTAGAGAACCTTCATGTCTGCTTCAGTTCAGGAACCTTTAGAGCCGAAATAGCAGCAGTTTAGATCAACGAAACCTGTATGTTTAGCAGGAAACCTTTGTTTGTTTGTTTGTTTGTTTGTAGGTAAATGAGAATAAACTCTTGCATTTAGGTCAAATGAGTTGAGTTTCTCCTACCAGACGAATTTGCTCTGTGATCTGTGGATTTAGAGTCAGGAGGAAGATAAATAAGGTCAACAGGATAACTAATCGCAGCATTTTAAGCAAGTTATTGGTGAAAAGTTGTTCTGTTTTTATTTAGACCTGGATCTGGTTTCTGTTACTGCAGAAAATTTGTTCATTTGTGGCAGAAAACCAGCCAGACTTCTCTTTCCTGTTGTCATACAAACGTGAACACACCTCAGGTTCGTCACGTCACAAGGTTGCAGAAATCTCATTTAGTGCAAAACACAATACCTTCAAAATAAAAGTCTTTTTAAGCTCCAGAATGAAACGAGCCCGGTTTGTTTGCTGCAGCTGGAGAAAGTTTTACGATTGGCCTTCAGCTGATGTTTTCCTGGTCGAGTTAAATCAGCCACTTAGTTGTGACATCGTATCTCGGCTGTGAGAACGAACCTGCGTCCCACTCAGAATGTCACAAACACTTTAATTACATGCAAACTAGCTGGGATTTGTAGCGGCGCGTGTTTGTTCAGGTCTTATTTGCATAAACACACAGACTTTGTACCAGGATTTAACAGCGTTGGTGTTTGTTCGTCCCTGCAGAGAAACAGCAACACTTTTTACCAGGATAAAATCAAAAAGGGATAAAAATCAGAAAACGTCAGTGACTTTCAGTCGGTTTTCTCTTTGCTAGTGTTGCTGCGGCGGCCATCTTGGATGGGCTTGAACCAGTTGTAGAACTAAACATTGCTTCCATGTTCAACTGGTTTCTTCTTTCATCCACCTGCCTCTCCAGAGATCACCACCACGGCTCCTCCCATCACACCGCTAGCATCAACGTTGCCCATGACCACGTTTGGCGCCACCACCGCCGCTCCGACCACTATCCCCAGCACCACGCTGTCCGCTGACTGCGAGGACGGACGGGAGCGCTGCGTCGATGAGACAGAGGCGCCCAACGAGTACGAGGATCCGGGTAAACAACCAAAACTAATTGTTGGTGTTGACATCTGTTTGGTGGCAGGGTTTGACCTTTGACCTAACCCTGACTGTCTCGTCTGTCTGTAACAGGAGAGACGATGAGCTCCAACCCCAGTGAGGACATTCCAGGTGAGGAATTCTGTCAGTTCTGAGGTCAGGCTTAACACAACGGCTGTTTTTCACCAACAGAATATTCTAGAAATCCCAAAAAACAGTCAAAACGAGTCCCGACAAACAAATACAAACATAAACGAAGGATCCATTAGCCTACGTGGATTCTTCATGGCTTCAGTTCCCAAATGAGGGAAACGCTGATGAGATAAATGCAGCAGAACGTTTATCAGTGTTCTTCATCTGTTATGCCGTCAGTGGGGTTAAGTCTAATAGTGAACGAGAGCAGCGGGCAGGTAAAATTACAGGGTTACATCAGATCCACAGATTGAATCATCTGTTTAATCTAGAAGAATTTTAAAGTCTTCATAATAATTTCTTAGTTTGTCATGTAAAAAAACCAAATAGATTTAAGATGGAGAGATTGTGTCTGTTCAGGCAGAAAAGGATGAAAAGCTTAATCTGGTCATAAAAATATTCTTAGGGTTCTACAACCCCCCAAGGCGCTTCACAACACAGTCAGTCATTCACACGCCGTGGGGATGAGCTACGATGTAGCCTTAGCTGTCCTGTGGCCAGCTGGACACCTGTTCTGTTAGGCTCCGCCCATTCCCTTCAGCGTGCTCTAGTGTTCTAGTTAGGCTCCGCCCACCTCATCTAATCTCTTTTAACTTTAAATCTAGAGTCAATAGTCTTTGTTGTATTCCGGAAGGTGGGAACGTTAACACCTCCCACAGATTAACAGGAAAGCTATGATCCATGAGAGGAAACCGTAAACCGCTTTAACATTGAGTTTGGTATAATGTGGATTTTATTCTTTCTTATTAAATATCATCAGGATGAAAACACACAGGCTGCTGCTCTAAGCTCCAGTTACACTAGAAAGGATCGTTTCCATTCATGTGAAATTAGAAACTGCTTTTAAAACCTTAATGTAGAAATAAAACTTTACCAGCTTTGATTATTCCCGTTACACGTGTTTACAGTGGCTCAGTGGAGCAGAGGTTAGACAAATCTGCAGCTTTTTTTTCTGTTTTTATTTTCTTTTTATTTCAAACAAATAAAACAATACACATAGTAATTTCCAACCTAGATAACTTATCACAACCATACTTGTTCGAAAAGGAATAGGAAGAAGCACAGCTCATTTCACCTATCCCTAAATCAATTGACTCATACTTAAAAAATATTTTAAAAATCAGAATACAACAATGTCCGAACACAACATCACAATAAAACAACTCAAAAGTATCAACATCAATTACAATAACGTTAATATATATTATCACTACAGTACACATCCAAACTAGGGATCCTCTTGTCCATATCTTGAAAAATTAATTCTTTATATAATTTTTAAATTGCACTTTGTTTAAACTTTCTTTGATTCTTTCCTCAAGCATGGACGTAATTTTCACTTCAGAAGTGGGGGGACACGGGGGGTGGGGGGGGTGGGGGGGTGGGGGGGGGGTACAGTATGCTCTAATGGGAAACAGGCTTCAACACAAACTGTTGTTTTCCGCTTGGTCCTAGAGCTCAACCAGTGTCAATTTAATATAGCGTAATGTTGTTTTCGGATGGTAAAAAGTGCAGGGGTCAAAACTTGACTTTGGAAAAAGTGTGGGGGACATGTCCCCTCCCCCAAAATTACGTCCATGTCCTCAAGACTATTCCATAAAAGAACTCCACTAATTGAAATACACATACTTTTCAATTTTGTTCGAGCATAATACTGCTTCAAATGTCATTCCCTTCTCAACTTATATCCACCTTGTCGTTCTGCAAACAGTTTTTGAATATTTTCAGGAAGTATTTTTTATTTACTTTGTACATAAATAATGCAGTCCTAAATTCAATCAAATCTTTTAACTTTAAGGTTTGTAATTATATAAACAAGCTAGTTGTGTGTTTATTATATATTATATCATTATATATTATATCATTATATATTTTTTTCTCCTATTGTAGCAAAAGAAACAGTCAAGAACATCAGGGGTTGGGGGCATTAAAGACTTCCTTCACTGAAAAACCATTTTAATGATTATTTCTGATTATAATGGGTCACTCTGGATTTTTCATGCAGGCTGAACATGAAAATAGTCTCCTACACCTATCTCCTGCATTAGCTTCTGATAGAAAACAGACAGTGAAACTCTAGGATTAGAAAATCCTGACAGATCTACGTCACACTGTCACTTAACATTCATGGACTCACGACGGGGAAGACTGTTGTTGGTTTAGCGTCCAGGAAACAGCAGAGAACGTCTCGGCTAGTAGAAGCTAACTGTTAGCATTAGCAACTCCACCACACCGCAGAACTCCTCCACTCTGTGTGGCAGCAGAATTGACCGTGCTGATCCAAGCAGTTCTGGGCTTTTTTTGCCCCGAGTACGGCTAGTAAGGCATTCAATCAGAGACCTCTGCTAATGTATTAGTTAAACAGGTTTCCTACACCTTTAAGAACCTTCGTATTTACATGTTTGTGGGAAATAAACATATTTACTGATCCAGAAACAGGAAAAAACATGATTTGTCTTTTATTTCTAAGCGGTCAGAAGCTGAAACTGACTCTTTATCAGATCAGGACAACATCAAGGTTTTCCTTTCATCCCGTTTAAAAACTAAAACCTGTATCTGAGGCCAACATATGTCGTAGTTTTCTCCCGTTACCTTGGTGAGATAAACATCCTAATCGATCATAAATCCGTTATACCTGCTACTATCAACGAAATGTGGTTTATGTGACGTTCTGACGAGGTAGAACCTCCTCCAGGCTTGTGTTATTAGTGGAGATAAAACATCGACAGTCAGTTGTAGAGTCACGTTTCTATACCTAAATAAAGGGCAGGAGTTCATTACATTTCTAAAAATGATCTAACTTGTTTTAAAGTCTTAAAACAAAACTAAAATCAAGTTTTAAAGAATTAGAACCGTTTTAGAGGATTCTTTTGTGTCCTAGAAGCTTCTGTGAGTTTGGAGGTCGAGTAACCCGAGGAGTTTGTTGTTGAATGTTCTTAAATAACTCAGGAGAGCGAGAAAGCAGCTCCAACAACACGACTCTTCATAAATGCAATGGGAACATTTTTTCTTTGATCCAGAACCGAAGGAACGTTCTAGAGCCTTTAATGATGTGTGAATTAAGCAGATTTTACCCGTCTGATGTAAACAACAACCTGACGGAGCAGCAGGGTGGAGAAGTAAAGAAAATGAGGTAGAGGAGGACGGAGGGAGGAGCTGCACAGGAAGAATAAAAAGCCTCCTGGGTCTCAATTAGCTGAGCTGCAGCATCACGTGGAGACAGTTTGGGGTTGAAGCTCTGAAGTCGTCTGCATCCTATTAGCCTCTAAAACACCACATGTCCTCCTGCTCCCAGCTGGATGGTGGTTCTACTCAACTCTGAGTCCATCTCAGGAGCTTTTTATGGAGGCTGTTAGTCCTTTAGTAGAGTAACTTTGGTGTTTAAAGCTTTAAACCACAACTAATTAGTTGATATTTTCCTCCTAGTGAGACTTTAGAGTTGTCGGTGTCGCTCCAGGCTCTGTTTGGACTTTCGCTTCTGACAGAATCAAATAGAATCACAGTTTTAAACTCACATCATATTAAACCCAAATCTGAGTTTGGACCGTTCGGGTGTTTTCTTGCCTTTACTCTTCATCACTCTTCATCGGCCGGCTGCTTCAGATGCAGTAAAAGCACAACATGTTGCTTTTCTACCAGATCAGTCCATGAATGCAACACGAGACCCATCTGCTGCTTTATGAGGTCACCAGATCAACTTCTGTGACACCTGAGGTGGCCCCCTGGAGGGTTTTATGTGTGTGTGTGAAGGTTCCTCATTAGCTAATAAAATACTTGAGATCCAGCTGCAGGACAATTAACTCCTTAAGGTGTCTTTAAGAGGCCCTCTAATGAAGTTGACTTGGTGATGATGTCAGGCTCCCCAGACAGGGGAGACTTGGTGCGACGGTTTCTAAACGTTCTCTCTTCCCTGCAGCGTATCTGTGGTTCGCCTGTGACTTTGACTTCTCGTCATTCTGCGGCTGGACCAAGGAGACGGGTTCTGGAGCCGAGTGGTTCATCCAGACCAGCGAGGCTCCTTCTGTCCACAGAGGACCGACTCTGGACCACACAGGTAGGACGTCCCGCCTCATCTGTGTAGCAGCACAGCTTTATGTTTACAGGAAAGAGGTTTATCACTGATCAGAATCAGAGTGTCTCGTCTCGTCTCGTCTTCCTCCGCTTATCCGGGTCCGGGTCGCGGGGGCAGCATCCCAACTAGGGAGCTCCAGGCCGTCCTCTCCCCGGCCTTGTCCACCAGCTCCTCCGGCAGGACCCCAAGGCGTTCCCGGACCAGATTGGAGATGTAACTTCTCCAACGTGTCCTGGGTCGACCCGGGGGCCTTCTGCCGGCAGGACATGCCCGAAACACCTCCCCAGGGAGGCGTCCAGGAGGCATCCTGACCAGATGCCCAAACCACCTCAACTGGCTCCTTTCGATCCGGAGGAGCAGCGGTTCTACTCCGAGTCCCTCCCGAATGTCCGAGCTCCTCACCCTATCTCTAAGGCTGAGCCCGGCCACCCTACGGAGGAAACTCATTTCGGCCGCTTGTATCCGCGATCTCGTTCTTTCGGTCATTACCCAAAGCTCATGACCATAGGTGAGGATTGGGACGTAGATCGACCGGTAAATCGAGAGCCTGGCTTTCTGGCTCAGCTCCCTCTTCCCCACGACAGATCGGCTCAGCGTCCGCATCACTGCAGACGCCGAACCAATCCGCCTGTCGATCTCCCGATCCCTCCTACCCTCACTCGTGAACAAGACCCCGAGATACTTAAACTCCTCCACTTGAGGTAGGACCTCTCCCCCGACCCGGAGGTGGCAAGCCACCCTTTTCCGGTCGAGAACCATGGTCTCAGATTTGGAGGTGCTGATCCTCATCCCAGCCGCTTCACATTCGGCCGCGAACCTACCCAGCAAGAGCTGAAGGTCAGAGCTGGATGAAGCTAGGAGGACCACATCATCCGCAAAAAGCAGAGACGAGATTCTCCTGCCACCAAACTCGACACACTCCACACCACGGCTGCGTCTAGAAATTCTGTCCATAAAAGTGATGAACAGAACCGGTGACAAAGGGCAGCCCTGGCGGAGTCCAACCCTCACTGGGAACAGGTCCGACTTACTACCGGCTATGCGGACCAAACTCACGCTCCTCTGGTAAAGGGACTGAATGGCCCTTAACAGAAAGCCACCCACCCCATACTCCTGGAGCGTCCCCCACAGGGTGCCCCTGGGGACACGGTCATAAGCCTTCTCCAAATCCACAAAGCACATGTGGATTGGTTGGGCAAACTCCCATGCCCCCTCCATCACCCTTGCAAGGGTATAGAGCTGGTCCACAGTTCCACGGCCAGGACGAAAACCACATTGCTCCTCCTCTATCTGAGATTCAACTATCGATCGGACCCTCTTCTCCAGTACCTTGGAGTAGACCTTTCCAGGGAGGCTGAGGAGTGTGATCCCCCTATAGTTGGAACACACCCTCAGGTCACCCTTCTTAAAGATGGGGACCACCACCCCGGTCTGCCACTCCCTAGGAACTGCCCCCGATGACCACGCAATGTTGTAGAGACGTGTCAACCATGACAGTCCTACAACATCCATAGCCTTGAGATACCCAGGACGAACCTCATCCGCCCCCGGGGCTCCGCCGCTGTGTAGTTGTTTGACTACCTCAGCAACTTCTGCCCCCGAGATCGGACAGTCCATCCCCAGGCCTCCCAGCTCTGGTTCCTCCTCGGAATGCGCATTGGTGGGATTGAGGAGCTCCTCAAAGTATTCCTTCCACCGTCCGACTATAGCCTCAGTTGACGTCAGCAGCTCCCCATCCCCACTGTAAACAGTGTGAGCGAGTTGCTGCCTTCCTCTCCTGAGGCGCCGGACAGTTTGCCAGAACCTCTTTGGAGCCGATCGATAGTCTTTCTCCATGGCCTCACCAAACTCCTCCCACGCCCGAGATTTTGCCTCGGCAACTGCCACTGCTGCACCCCGCTTGGCTATCCGGTACCTGTCTGCTGCCTCCGGAGACCCACAGACCAGCCACGCCCTGTAGGCCTCCTTCTTCAGCCTGACGGCTCCCCGAACCTCTGGTGTCCACCAGCGGGTACGGGGGTTGCCACCACGACTGGCACCGGCCACCTTACGGCCACAGCTAGCAACAGCCGCCTCGACAATCGCAGAGTGGAACAAGGCCCACTCGGACTCAATGTCCCCCACTGCTCTCGGGACGTGGTCAAAGCTCTGCCGGAGGTGGGAGTTGAAGACCGTCTTGACAGGTTCTTCTGCCAGGCGTTCCCAGCAGACCCTCACTATGCGTTTGGGTCTGCCAGGTCTACGCGGCATGTTCCCTTGCCATCTGATCCAACTCACCACCAGGTGGTGATCAGTTGACAGCTCCGCCCCTCTCTTCACTCGGGTGTCCAAAACATACGGTCGCAGGTCAGATGATACGACTACAAAATCTATCATCGACCTGTGACCTAGGCTGCCCTGGTACCAAGTGTACCGGTGGGCATCCTTATGTTCGAACATGGTGTTCGTTATGGCCAAACTGCGGCTTGCACAGAAGTCCAATAACAAAACACCGCTCGAGTTCTGATCAGGTGGGCCGTTCCTCCCAATCACACCCCTCCAGGTCAAGCTGTCATTGCCCACGTGAGCATTGAAGTCCCCCAGCAGGACAATGGAGTCCCCTGATGGAGCACTATCTAGCACTCGTCCCAGGGACTCCAAAAAGGGTGGGTACTCTGAACTGATATTTGGCCCATAAGCACAAACAACAGTCAGGACCCGTTCCCCGACCCGAAGGCGCAAGGAAGCTACCCTCTTGTCCCCCGGGGTAAACCCCAACACACAGGCAGAGAGTCTCGGGGCTAACAAAAAGCCAACCCCAGCCCTCCGCCTCTCACCCGGAGCAACTCCAGCAAAGTAGAGTGTCCAACCCCTCTCCAGGTCTCGGGTTCCAGAGCCAATGCAATGTGTCGAGGTGAGTCCGACTATATCTAGCCGGTACCGCTCAACCTCTGCCACAAGCTCCGGCTCCTTCCCCGCCAGCGAGGTGACGTTCCATGTCCCAAAAACTAGTTTCCTTGTCTGGGGATTGGACCGCCAAGGCTCCCGCCTTGGTCTGCCACCCGATTCACATTGCACCGGACCCTTCATGTTCCTCCTGCGGGTGGTGGGTCCACAGTTGGACGAGCCCATGTATCCGGTTCGGGCTGGGCCCGGCCGGGCCCCATGGGCGAAAGCCCGGCCACCAGGCGCTCGCTCACGGGCCCCAACCCCAGGCCTGGCTCCAGGGTGGGACCCCGGTAACCCTCCGGGCCGGGTACTCCGACTCTTCGTTTTCACCGCCATGAAAGATCCTTCGAACCGTTCTTTGTCTCACCCTTCACCTAAGACCAATTTGTCATGGGAGACCCTACCAGGGGCACTAAGTGCCCCAGACAACATAGCTCCTAGGATCATTAGGGCACTCAAACTCCTCCACCACGATAAGGTGACGGTTCAAGGAGGAGAGAATCAGAGTGATCATGTTTTTTGTCCCTGAGAAGAGCCCTGCTCTCATAACCACACCCGGGATGAACTTGTAACGTTTTAAAGCTTTCTGTTAAAGATGAAAACAGCCTTGAACATCTTGGCGTTTTAAAAGAAACCCAACAAAGGAAATCCATCAGCGGCGTCACCTCCTCTGGCCTTCCCTCCATTCAGCCCCTGACGGCGCTGACGGATGTTTCCGTGGAGACGACAGCAGCTCTCAGATGAATGATTTCTCCTTGATTTCTTGACTTAACTGGATCAGAAGTAAAAAACGAGCTCTTTGTGACGACAGGTCGGCCGATCTGCTGAAGCGCGCTGATACTCGGTGCCTTTGTGGAGTCCTTCACTTCTTCAGGGTGTTGGAGGCTGATATTTCATACCTGAAAGGACTCTTTGTGCTCGGAACACCCTCGAGAGTTTAGCAGGACTTTATTTTCACAATAAAGCTTCCTCTGAGTCACGCCGAAGACCTTTTCTACCAGAGTGTAAAGAAGAAATTACTTGAGTGGCTGAATGTCTGCATGTATTCATCTGTCAGCGCTTGTGTCTTACTGCCCCCTGCAGGAGGAGCGGGGAACTTCATCTACATGCATGTGACGGACACAAACACACCCAGCAAACCCGGGGAGGACCGGGACGAGGCCATGAGGGTGGCCCGGCTGAGCAGCCTCCCCATCACCACGCCAGACTCCAACCTGTGCATGTCCTTCTGGTACCAGCTGAGCGGCGACTGCGCCGGCATTCTGCTCATCAAGTACAGGCAGGAGGACGACGACGGCCAGGTCCTGTGGACCATGAGCCGTTGTCAGGGCAACCAGTGGAGGGAGGGGCGGGTTCTACTGCCTCGATCCAGCCTCACCTACCAGGTAGGTCCGATCCATCCCAGCAGGACCTCAGCTAGACACCGGTTCTGTTTTTTTTTTTTTTTTTTTATTCTGGTTCTGATTGCAGTGTTGATGTGATGTTTCCAGGTTGTGGTTGAAGGAGTTGCCGACCGACGCAACCCGGGTCACATGGCAGTGGACAACATCAAGATCATCGATGGTCTGAACCTTCTGGACTGTAGAGGTGAGTTCTGATGGGATCTAATCGGGTTTGCAAACAAACATTCACTTCCTGATCGTTCTGATGTTTGACCTCAGATCCAGAAGCTCCGACGTCTCCACCCACGGACATCTTCATGCTGCGTGAGCACCGTTTGTGTTACAGTTTAGTTAAATAAAAACTCTCAGACATCTCATTTGGGTTTCTGTCTGTCTCTCGTAGCCGTGGACTCCCTGTCCCAGGAGACGGGGGAACTCGGCGGACCTGGGAACATGCTGAAGACCTTGGACCCCATCCTCATCACCATCATCGCCATGTCGGCTCTGGGCGTCTTTCTGGGCGCCATCTGTGGCGTGGTGCTGTACTGCGCCTGCTCTCAGGGCAGCATGACAGACAGGAACTTATCCGCCCTGGAGAACTATAACTTTGAGCTAGTGGACGGCGTCAAACTAAAGAAGGACAAGCTGAACGGACAGACTCACAACTACTCTGAGGCATGAGTGGGAGAGGAGGGGGCGGAGCTAAAGCTCCCCGCAACCGCAACACAAAAAATGCAGCCAGTCAGGAGAGACTATCACAGGGCTGAGACCACCAATGGGACTGCAGGGTGGGCTGACAGTGAGCCGATGATACTTTAATTCCTCAGGAGCGGCTATGAAGGGACTGACCTGCAGGGGGCGCTGTGTAAAAAGCATCTGTACAGAAAAAATAGAAGAAGAAGAAAACTACAGATTCTTTGTTTTTGGAGGTTCTTTGGCGTGTTTTGTTGATTTTATGTGATCACATGCTGGTGTTGAGACCAATTCAGAGGGAAAGTATCGTTACTTTAACCATTTATTTGTTGTTTTGGTTTTGATGCTGTTCTACAGAAATTATGTAAAATTGAATGTGTGTGTGTGTGTGTGTGTGTGTGTGTGTGTGTGTGTGTGTGTGTGTGTGTGTGTGTGTGTGTGTGTGTGTGTGTGTGTGTGTGTGTGTCACTCATACACCTGCATCTAACATGTGTAAGACTCGAGTGTGTGTGTGTGTGTGTTCTCGCTGCAGGCCTCCTGACCTGCTCCAACAGTGCCTTTTTTCCCGTTTTTCCGTTGCCTCATTTTCCCGCCGGCTGACGTTCCGGCCCAGGGTTCCTACACAAACCTGCGGGGACATTTTCCAAACTGTGATCATAAAACTGTATTATTTGTGTTTCTGTAATCTGATTACTGCAGATCCCCCTCGCCTCGCTGAAAATTCGCTTTACTACACAGAGCTGAAGGTAAACTATGATATTCCCACTGGAAATGTGTGTAGGATCCTGAATGCATCAACTCCACGGCACATGACACATCCAACGTTTTGTACATAGGTTTAATATATTTGAGCGCTCTTTTTCTAAGGACTCAGACGCCAGTGCTGCAGTATCCTTCCTGTGTGAGAATCTCTGAAAGTGGCTCAAAGCTCTCAGAAACGCCTATGGAGAAGTGATTTTATTTGTAAACAGGGTAAAACGGACAACCTCAGCAGCTGCAAAGCATAAAAAGATGTAGATCCGGCGCTCCAGGCAGAGTTTTTATGTTTTAGAGTTAATGTGATGGTTTCTTCAGTGTTGACCAGCAGAAGTAAAAGCAAACAGAAACCGGCCGAGTTTATCAGAACAGAGATTTTCTTTTAACATTTCAGAAAAACAAAGTTATTTGATGTTTTTTTACTTTAAAACTGAAAATTATTCAGTGAACAGGCTCGTTTTTCTTTGTTTACAAAGATTTTACATTTTTATTCTATTTCTGCAAATATTTAATGAAAACTTGCCTTAAAATTGATGGTAACAAAAACTAAAAATCCAACCATTCATCAGATAATTGTTCAACAAAAGAAAGGATGGCTAAGATTTTATCTTTTTATAACAAACTGGCCTAAAAATGTCCTTTTTCTGCTCCGTTAAGCCAGTATTTTATTTGAGAGTGAACCAAATTATGAAGCTGACATTTCTCATTATTAAAACACATTTTCTCTCTTCGTTATGAAGAAAATTAACCTTTGTTTACTGTTTAATTAAATCTGAGTTGTTTATAAAGCCAAACTCCTCCCTGGGTTTATAAATCAGAAGGATGCTGCAGCGCTTGTCCTGAAAACAAATGTTGCACTGATATATTTAAAGAGTTTATGTGTTTATGATGTTGGTTTATGGAGGACGGCGTTGCTTCTTTTTAACGCGGTTTAAATCCGCCGCGTTAGACTCTGAAATGTAAAATTTACAGAGATGTTTTTCATTCTCGAAAAATCTTGTCTATTGAAACGTAATGGTTTTATTTACTTGGTATAATATCACCTTGTGTTCTTGTACCGTCACTGATGTACGTGCCATTGTTTTAGGAATTTTCTTCCGATGACCAGATGAAATGTTTTATTTTCCGTACCGTTTCTGTAATTTTGTTGTCTCAAAAACTAAAAAACAACAACAACAACAAAAAAACTAAAGAGGAAATAAGGAAGTGAAAAAAAGAGGGAAGCAGTGAGGCCTTATGTGACTAAAGTATTGTTTGTACTTTGACTTTCTGGTTAGAACCAGAACTCATCAGTCTGTTGTCGACTCATCACTGACTATCACATTCCAAAGAGTTGGATCAAATAAATGTTTTAAATTAAAAAATAAATTTGCTTTTGTGTTTCTGCTTTAAGAAATCGCAACAAGACTTTTAAACTCTTTTATAAACTCTTTTATTCGTCTTATATCATAAGCTGTATTTGACTTGATTCATGTTGTTTTGTAGCTTCTCTTCCATAAAATGTTTAACTAACAACAAGAATGGAGACACTTTTTGTGAAAAATGGGGATAAATGTTGTAGATTCGGTTTTGCAGGGAAGGAAAGTTGAGCTCCTATCGGGACTTTGTCATGCTAAACCCACCTCCAGGTAAGAAAACGCTGAAAACCATTATTAAAGTGCACAAATAAGTATGGAGTTTGGTGGGAAACTAAATTAAATGTGTCCTCCAGAAGTAAAGCTAACAGCTAATCTGAGCAAGTCCACTGGGTGGATTTCTGCTGATTTAAAACAAAAACAAGGTTTTTAAATGTAAAGTGAAATTTAAAGGAAAAAAGCCCACGGTGGGGATCAGGTGTTGGCGTTAATGTCAAACTGTTAGATTCTGTTTCATCAGGATTGTTCTGGACATTAAGCTGCAGATTGGATCCAAATGCCTCAACCAGACCCTAAATAATCCTAATTTATCTCCCGAGTGGAGCTAATCACTCCGGTTTCACAGTCCAGAGGCCACCTCTGCTAAAAATAAAGCCCTCTTAACAGATCTCCGAATCCCCAGGTATAAATCAGCTTCCTACTTTAGATGATGCAGTAAGAAAAGGTGAAATTCTTTTGATTCATTTGGGTGAAAATTAAAGTAAAACTTAATAAATCTACAAGGTACAGCGTCACCACAGTCATCTGAAACCTCTGTGGGCTGATTAGGGTTACATTTTATTTAGTTCTCTCTCTCTCTCTCTCTCTCTCTCTCTCTCTCTCTCTCTCTCCTCTCTCTCTCTCTCTCTCTCTCTCTCTCTCTCTCTCTCTCTCTCTCTCTCTCACACACACACACACACACACACAGCTGGGTCCCCTTCTTGCTGTGTCGTGTTTCGTCCACAAGGTGGCAGTGTTTCCTTGTAAAAGACACCTCCCCTTTGAGTGAACATTCAGGTATTTCCCCTCTGCCCCTGTATGGGAGTATACCTGAAGACAAAACAAGTCGTTTAATCCCTCAGACAGTTTAAATGCCTCAGAAAACAGAGGCTGCTGGGAGTTTTTTTTCCCTTGCAGTAAGACCAAAAGGAAATTCTTGAATTTGATACCTAAAGGCTTTTAGATGTCTGTCTCTGCAGGATTAGAACAGGAATGCAACAGGATAACTGGGTGGTGTGAAGATAAATAACAGCTGGAGAGATCAGCTGCTTCATCTCCTATGTCTGCATAACCAGCGTCCCCACCAGTTCAGCTCTACTGGTTGTGCAGCTGGATTAGAGGAGTGGACTCCTGTAGAATTAACAACAAAAAGACTTTTTAATGTTTCAGGCTTTAGATTTTTTCCAAACCAATTATTAGAGTTTAACCAAGCTAAAGCACGTCGGGTGAAAAAAGGGCCAGCTAGTCTTCTTGAGTAAAATCTAAAATGATCCAGGTTTTTAAGATTATCATATATTTTAAATAGCACCTTACAGGCATGAGGCATGCCACCAAAGTGCTGCACAGTTACAAATTAAAACAGATTAAATCAACCAAGACAATTAAAACCACAATGTTAACTCTTCATTCATGTGTTCATTCAGTTTACGTTTAATCACTAAATCTTGACCTGATTAATCTTTTACCCTTCCATTTCAACTTGTTCTGTTTTAATCTGACAGTTTTGTGCACATTTATTTAGTTTCTTGTACTTTACCTGCAGCCAAGCTTATTTTTTATTGATGTTTAACATTTAGGTGTTATGATAAAATGCTATCTATGAACTTGGTCTTGAGGTAAGTTTTAACCATGTAAAGATATTGTTAAACTTTTTAAAGAGCATGTCACCCCCTACCAGAGTATTACTCAACTCCCACTTCCTGTTTGAAAAATGCAACTAATGCTGTTGCCTAGCAGACCGAGAGGGCGGAGCCGCTAACAAACACGCACGCACGCACGCACGCGCGCGCGCGCGCACACACACACACACACACACACACACACAGGCTCACGAAAACATTGTGACATCATATGGTACCAGCTACCGTTCTAGGATACCTCTTAGCCAATAGCTATGGCAGATTTAAATTCAAATGCAGTGCAGAGTTTTTACCTGTTAACGGCACAAAACTGACAGTTTTAGGCAGAAAATAATATTTTTAACTAAAATGCACAAAAGTGTAAAACTATTGACTACACATGTCTGCAGCACGATTAGACACACATTTATACAGTTTATTGGGGAAAAAAGTTGATTTGGGGGTGACTTGCTCTTTAAGTAAAGTCCTTTACTGTGATGTTAGGTTTGGTATAAACAGACAAAGATTCTTCTCAAATAAAAATTATTTACAAACATTAAACGATTCTTATCTCAAATTAACTTTGCATTCATGATTTTGTTTCACAAATGCTCAATAGATACCAAATTATGCAAATGACTGCAGGTAACACGAAAAACGAAATATTGAGTTCTAAAGCGTAAAGTGCGCATGCGCATTTGTTAACATGAATTTTTTTTGCCACATCCGAGGTGAAAACGGGTTCATCACTCTCTGGTGTGTTTGTTCTCAGTGCCTTTGCTTGCCGCAGTTCTCCATGTGTGGGCGGGGTTTGAATAAGAATGAGAGGTTTGCTGAAGTGGGGCACAAAAACGACCCATCACGCATTGAAGTCGAGCTGTAACGTGTTCTGACCCATCTCGGTTCCCGGATTTGTATCTGATCCGTGACAGAGCTGGAATAAGACATGCCAGCTCCACCCGTGGTTTAATCGGATAAGAAATTTAAGCGGTGCGGTTTCACTGGTCAGACAAAGCGGCAACAGTTTTAGCTCGTTTTTAACCGTTAGAAAGGACACTTTTTGTTCCTGATGTTGCTCTAAAGCTTCAGAAACGCATTTAAAGCATCAGCTTAAGGTAAGCCGTGTGGTTTCAACCCACATTTAAGCAGTTTCACATCAACAGAGCGACTCAAACGATCGTGAACGAGAAAAAGAATGCCTGACTTGAGGCGCAAACTTTGGGTGTGGATTAACGACAACTAACTTGCGCTCGAAAGTCACTTAAGTTTACCCTCGGTAGTTAGTAAGTGGGAGTTTAAAGCAAGTATCGAGTACGACATGTTACGTCTTTAATCCCAAATAAGCTGTTAGCTGGTGAGTTTGGGTTTAGGACTAAAGTAGGCCAAAGTAGCCCCTCAGAGAACCCAGGACTGGTTAACGTTAGCTCTGTGTAAACTAACCAGAGCCAAACAAGCTCATTTGGTTGGTTTTAATGTTTTTGATGTTCTTTAACGTCACGTTTATTTGCATTCTTACTGCGTTAAAATCGCCTCTCAGCACTTTTGTTGCGTTTTGTTCCAGTTTGGGATAAAATAATAGACACCTTTATATTTTCAGTGCTATTTTAATAAGCATGTCTAAGAACTTTTAATAACTAGTGCTTCTGAGAGGGCTCCCAGTTGATTTGATGTCTACAATTTCCCTTCATGATCTTAAATGTTAGCTAAAGTCTCTTAATTACCAGGTTATGATCACATTTAGAACATCTTAGGAGTTAATAAGCCAAGAGTTGTATTTCACTTGATCAATGCCTTTAAAAACCCACCTGTAACTTTTAAATCTCCCAAAAGCTGCCCTGAGCTGGACTGCTGTGGTCAGCCTACATGTGTAAACTGTGGTCAGGAACTCAGCAAGGCCAGGAGATCCTAAAGCATGACCACTTGGGCTAACCAGAAAACCTCTTGTTGAGCCTTGCCTGCAACTGTGATTCAGAAATCCTGAGCAGGATGGGTCTTGTCTGCCTCAGTGAGCTCCTGCAGAAGAATTGTAGCCTGAGGGTATTGTTTTTTCTCTTTAGTGGGTTTAAATAAACTAGAGTTAAACTTGAGCATGTGAAGTTCTTGTTTCAGGAGTTGCAGCATCATAATGACAAGCTGTGGCGTTGTATTGAGACGTAAAAGGACACAGATGTCTCTGATTTGGTCCAGATAATGCTACCCAGGCTGGGTAATTACAGACATGAGGAGAGGACTCATCTGCAGACTGTAACCCACTGAGTCACTTCCCTTAGTTACTTTATTATGCTGCTTAGGGCAGGGAGTGTTTGGCTGGGGTGAAGCTTCCTGTCCAGTCCAGAGACCTGGGCTACGCTACACAACACTGACTGTTTGTGAATCAGAGACTTCTGGGAGCGCTGAGTTTTGGGTTCAGACCTGAAACTGTGTCGCTGTTGGGAGAACCACATCGTTTAACCGGTTTGAATTTTCTTAGGCATCTAGCTGCTTGTTTTGGGCCAGTAGAGAACATTTCTGGTGTTTTTCCGACCCCTTTGTTTCACACTTAATCTGAGTTATGTAAATCCATTGACATATATACTGGACAATTCATTTCCATAGGCTCCAATAATACGTTTTTGTACTAAAATGGGAGGTGGCCACCACCGCCATTTTGACCGTGTCACAGGTTCCGTCAAGCCCAGACAATTCCACAAAAGGGAAGAGAGGTGGAGCTGAGGGTGGGGCTGTAAGGCTGGGATCAACTGACGACACCCGGTCGAACTAGCTACAAGCTAACCTGAAGCTAACCCAAAGCTAACGCGGAGGTGGGAGCTAAGCTAATGGAGGTAGCAACCTAGCTACAACCGGAGTTAACTGTGCACAACACCAGAGCTTCTGAGTCAGAGATACGCCGGGCTGACCGCTGGGTAAAACCGGGTGGAACACAGAGGTCTTGGAGAGCTCCACAAGCCGGCAGCCGCACAGCAGACAAGCACCGCTGCGATCTGAGATGCGCAGAGCTGCCGCTGTGGAGAACCGGGTGGAAAGGTTTCCATCCCAGAGCTCCACAAGCCGGCAGCCCGCGCAGCAGACAGAGATGCGGGGAGGGGAGAAACGGGTGGAAAACATCGGTCTCCTGAGAGCTCCACAAGCCGATAGTCGGAACCCAGCTCCACCAACATGTTATATTTCAACCCATTTTCTAAAGTGCAGCATTATGTTAAATGCACTGGGTTTTACCCTATTACATTTAAATTTCATGGTTAAACAGTACATGTTAAAATCTAAGCTCAGCTCGGCAGTGACCTAAAATACATAAATATAATTTTACTTACCAAAAAATGAATTGGAGACTCCTTGGACGCTCTATTAGTGCAATTAATGCCACAGCAAGTCATTTTGTCCAACAATTGCACAAATAATATCCAAAAAAGAATACACAAACACAGAGACTCAAAATCCCTGAGCAGTTTCCAAGCCAGACCGAGGCTCTATTGAGACCTTTCCACGGAGCTAGCTCTGCGGTCACGTGGGTCTGATGCTCATTAATTATACAGAATTTTAGGCTTTTAATACACTTAAACAGAAGAGTGAGAAAAAAATTCACCCCCCTCAGAGTTGTCATGAGTGTAAACTAGATCATTTTAACCAAAAACATGTTTTGTTACCAGTCTGTAAACATGTCTATTTCTGCTGTGAAATTGGTATTTTTAACATGGGAGTCGATGAGGATTTGCTCGCTTCTGACACCAGCCCCCAGAGGATGAGGGTGGAACTGCAATTTATGGTACTTCCGGGTTGGAGTCAATTTTTGAGCCGCATTGTGGGGGCTTGTGTAAATCTAAGAAAAGAAAAGAGAAGATGTTAATCCCACTAATCCAACATTGTCATAAGTTTTTGATGTTTAGGGAAGTGTTAAGAGTAACTTTCCAAACAAATGACTGAATCATATTTCTGTTGTAATAAGAGTTTATTTTCACACAAATTAAAAGGATTGCTGTCGCTGTGAAGTCAAAGTTCACATTAAAACGTGAGCAGGAATCCATTGTTTCATCTTTTTGAGGGTTTGATTGGGTTTTTCTCTTGGACACCAAAAACAAGTCCTACATTTCCTTCTACAATCAAAAAAGCCTTTTCTTGGCGGTCTGATTTAATGTTCTGACATTTTATCTTAAGTTTTGAAACTAGTTTCATTTATAAAAACAGGATTGATTCTCTTTTTTTGTACAGTTTATTTGTGAGTTGTGCCTACTGGTTTTTATGGATCTTTACACAAACGTTTGTTTTAACCTGTGTAACTTTAAACACTTTGACCAGCACTTGTTTATAATTGCTTTGCCACTAAAATCTTCAGACCTAAAGATGCACCAACAAACGGGTCTTCAAACGGGTCTTGTGGTCCATGAAAACATTGCCAAGCAGCAGCTTTAGTTTGTTGATTATGATCCTTAAAGAGCAAGTCACCCCCTACCAGAGTATTACTCCACTCCCACTTACTGTTTGAAAAATGCAACAAATGCTATTACCTAGCAGACCAAGAGGGCAGAACCGCTCTCACGCACGCACGCACGCACACACACACACACACACACACACACACACACACACACACACACACACACACACACACACACAGGCTCACAACAACATTGTGACATCATAATGTACCAGCTACCGTTCTAGGGTATCTCTTAGCCAATACCGATGGCAGATTTAAATTCAAATGCAGTCCAAAGTTTTTACCTGTTAACGGCACAACACTGATAGTTTTAGGCAGAAAATTAAAATTTTAACATAAATGCACTAAAGTGCAAAACTATTGACTACATGTGTCTGCAGCACGATTAGACACACATTTATATAGTTTATCAGGAAAAAAAGTTGATTTGGGGGTGACTTGCTCTTTAAGGTAGCATCCGAGAACAAATGACAGCAGGGTAGGGCTGTTGTTCTGGAGATTTTTAGGCTGGTGGTTCATTTTTACAGGTTTAGGCTTGAGGTTGGAGGTATTTCATGTGTCTGCTGGGTCTCCTTCAGTCTTCCTGTGTTTGCGTCCAGAAGTGAGCGTGGTTTCCCGATCCATCAGCAGCCTGCTAGGGTGAGCGTCACCATCTGGGCGTGTTAGTGGCAGAATGGCAGGAAGAGTCATGCTGTGGTGTTTAAATAATACAATGTTGGTGATTTTATACTTGATCTGTCTCACATGTTTGAGTTTTATAAACATTTATTACAGAATGATGTTGGTAATGGCTCTGATAAGCTGTAAGATGATTTATTTGCAGTGGATGCCGTGGGTCACAGCATCACAAGATAAGACTGTTGGTGTGAGAACAGAGCGCACTTCTGCTTTCAGTAGAAGAAAACTGTGACCCACCACCCAGTTGGTGGTGATGTGTGGTTAACCTATTAAAGTATGAATATAGCCACTGCTGGAAAAACGGAAACCAGCAAGAGTCTCTCTGGTTTCTGGCGCTTTGTTCTTGTGCATTTACTTCTCTGCAACGACTTTTATGGTTTCATATTTATAATATTAAAGTTGTTACTCCATCTTATTCATTTAGTCAACGAGGTCACACCTCCATCTAGAATAATGTTTAACAGCAGCAGGAACCGTTTTCACACCTGAGGACTTTCTGAACCTGGACTTCAGGGTTTCCCTTACATAGGCGTAGCCGTGGCGGCCCGCCACGGCTGAAATCCCACCGCCACGCCTACAAGATCCCAAGTTTTTTTGTTTTTGTTGGCGCTGTTTCCCGAAGAAGCAGCGGGAACTACTATGTTGTCGCTTGTGATCACAGCCGGCGGCAGCAAGGAGGAGGAGGCAGGGCAAGGTGAAGTTACAGCATAAGTTACTGAGTTTAAAATTAGAAAGGTAGCAGTGAATATAATGCTTTTTGGTTTACATGTTTCAATAGCATTAAGATAAACGAGTGTTGACGATCTTGACAGGGTTTCCTCCCGTGCTTATTAGGCCAGGTTCTCCTCCCACCAGGCTAAGCATCACTTATTCATGTAAAATTTATTTATTTTTTCATGTCTGACTTTAACCGCATCTAATACTGTATTACGGCGTGAGCGCAACAGCGACAACTTAAGATCGATGTGTGAGCAGCCTGAGAGGTCGGGTGTTTTCATCTGAACCCTTAAAACCTCCAGAAGGCTACGTTGCACTATTGACGTGTTAGCGCGCGGCGCTAACAACTTAGCGACGTGACATGTCTCGAAGAAAGCGTAAAAACACATTGGACGCTTCTTCTGAAGCGGGAAAATAACACCTCTTCTTAAGCAGAGCACGACGCCGCCTCGACTCGTTCACGGCCGAGCCGGACTGAGCTCGATAACATTGACCCAGCACAGCCACTGGGTCGTTGGAGCTGCCCCGTGACTGTCTGATGGAAAACCAGCGGGTTTCGTCAGACTCTTAAAGTTTCTTGTTTTTGCTGGGGAACCCCTGTATTTTAGCGCTCCCTCCTGCAGTCTTCTCCTATTAACATTTAAAATGATTCTGTAAACTCCGTGTATCAATAGAAACGATCTCTGCCTTTGCCAGCTGCAGTAAATGTAGTCTCCAAATAATAAATAAGAGGTGCATTTATCTGTGTATCTCCTTTGATCCGCATTAGTGATATTCTCAGCACCAGAACAATGAAGCAAAGAAACAGATTCCTGAGTTTATGTTAGTAATTTTATTTATTAGGTGCATCTAACCTGTTCTATTTTTCTCTGAAATTAGATCAAATCAGTGCTTCTATGGGTTGTCTGCTCTCTGCACTAGAACATTTTACTTTGTTTAGAGACGTGTCATAATCCCCCCCCCCCCCCCCGCTGGCCCCACCGCCACAGCTGGAAAAATTCCTAGGGGAAACACTGGACTTTGTCATGAATGCTGAACACTCAGGTGTGTTTTATTAACACTTTGTGTCTGAAGCAACAAGGTTCAGAAAGGTGAGACAATAAACCCTCTTGTTCACCAGACTTTAGTCCTGGTGGTGCTAAACTCAGGATTTTATCTTGAGTCTGCACCGGACTCTGAGCTTTCTTATTTTTAATGATCAGTTTGATCAGAGGAAGTTATGATTCACTAATTCAGCAGCTCTCTTGTTTACGTCGAGTCAAACCCACACAGCAGCTCTGGGAAGTCAACAGGTGTTATGCAAGTCTGCTCTCATGTCACCTCGTCTGCATAAAACATCTGCAGTAGCGTTTATTACATGATGCAACCTACAGGTAGATGTTTGTCACGCTGTGGAATCTTCTGAACTTTTGAGATGTGTTGATAATATAAAGCTGTTCATCAAATCAAACTTTTAACCCAATCTCACCCAGGTAATCTCATAAGTAGGCTGAACGGACACTTCGGGTTAAAATGGTCTTTTCTCCCCCCGAGGAGGCAAACGCTTAACCAAGCATGGCGGATGCTAGAGACGGAGCCAGTCAGCGGTTTTGGACTTGATCATCTGGGGTGATAATATTTGGGGTGATAATTCTGTTCAGGCCAAACTTGAAGGATTATATCATAACTGGGCTGCGTTCAAGTGCATTTCTAGAGCAGATACAAACGTGGCTACAGTATCTGAGGAGAGTCAAGAGCCACAGAGCAAAATGTATTTCAATCTGTTAAACTTTTGTCTCTGCTGGAAATGCCAAACCCTAACATCTGTAGCCTCCATCTTAACCTGCGTAAACACCACCCGTTGTGTCTGATATCTCGTCTTCTTCTGGGCACATGGGCCGCTTTAGCGCCGTGAACCGTTCACACTGGAGTGTGTTTGCTGTTTCACCTCTAATGTGAATGACCACAGGGAAGAAATTGATTTAGTTAATGAAAATGTTTGAATTGAGCATCAAGACCTGCAGAGTGAACGCCGAGTTAGGGTTAGGGTTAGTTATTTGAAGTGAAGTTGTGTTAATTCTGGGAGAATGTTAGTTGAGCTAGCATCAGCCTCACCTTTGTCATATTTTATCGGGAATAGCCGTGTTATTTGTCTTTATCAGGGTAGAAGTGACTCATTTTGGGGTTGTGAGTGTGGTCCTGGTTCTGTCTGGTCGTTGGACCAGGGAGGTCATACGTAGAGGATCAGAGCAACTCTGGCTGCTATAAACAGAAGTGATTTATCATGAAAGGTTGTCATCTGGCCTCTTGAGTCCTGACCATACAAAGTCACAATCAGACCCGGTTTCTTCTTGTTCCTATAAACACTCGGTTCTGATCTCCGTCGCTGATGATCAGACTAAAGTTTCTGTTTGGTCCCAAAAAGATTTACTAAAACAACTCAGGTTAATAATTACATGTAATCTGAAAACCAGTTAATCCATGGGGAAATAATTTGTAGGTAACTGCGTAAAGACGGTGTCCAATGGTGATCTGGATCAAATCTTCCATTATAAAGATGCATAACGTACTAGTGTGTCCTGGTGCAACACACCTGCTCACCTGGTCTCACATTAAGCTTCTTGCTCAGACCTTATCAGACGTTTCTGACCAGCCAGGTACATTTACAGCTCTACTGGTGCTGATGGCGTTGGCTCTCAGCTTGTGATTACATTTGAGATTCTTTTTTAGTCGTGATTTAAAAAAGACAAACCAACGCGACCCGAGTGCTGCTTTGTTTCCATCATCTCTGTATCTAAAGTGCTTTTAGTGAATTGTTCAGAATGTCTGTATTTATGATCAGAGATTAGGGCCACAGAGGCTTTTTTCTCAGACTAATGGAGGCTCTGACTTCCTTCCAGCCAGTCGAGGGCAAACCCACGAGCTGTAAACAAAGCTGGCGTTCAGGAATGTTTGGGGGGGTTGATGGTGCAGAAATGCTCGAGGGCCGGGGTCGGTCTGAATTTAATTATGCTTTCTGTTGGCTTGTTGCCTGTTTCTCTGTCACCGCTTCTTCTGATGTCAGATTTCATTCTGTAACTATTTCATTTGAGTTCTGAGGGTTATTTAGTGGGATTTAGTAACCAGAACGGCTTCACATCTGTCTCCTGTTTTTGCATTTTCCCTCCATCATGGTCGCTTTTTACACCTATGCAATGATTTCAGCGCTTAAAGGAAGCGTTCAGCTTCATTTTGTTGCAAGGCCACTTTTTACAGGAAGTGTTTGATGAAAGCCCTCCGCAGCAAAGCCTGTTAGTTTATTTTCTTTCTTACTGGACCAGAACCCTAAAATATAAACACTGAAATATTCAGTTATTCAGGGACGTGCATGCTGACTCAGCTCAGCTGTTATCAGCAGAATATTTCCTGCATGACTCCAACTGGGGCACGGGTTTTACAGCCAGTCAAGGAAATGTGTCAGTGGGATTGTGGGTAGAAGCAGATATTACTATCAGACCAAATATGGCCGCCAGGAAACAGAAAGGTCCCACCTGGTGACCAAAGCAGACCAGATCCAGGTTCTGTGCTTCCTTCAGTTCTTTTGTTGCTGCTGTTGGGAAATGTTGGGCTGATTCTGGTAGACAGGAATCACAAGACTTCGTAAAGAACCGCAGTTCTTTCCTCCCTTCTTTTTGTCCTGTCAGCCATCTTGATTTAAAGCTGCTGTAGCTCATCTGTTTGAGTCATTACACGCCTGCTGTTGGATTCATTTTCAGTTAGTCAAGCCATTTATATATTTATTTATTTACATTTTTCCACAGCAACTGTCCTCCTCTCTCGGTTGAATCTTGCTGATCATTTTTACCTCAACTAAGAGCTCGACGAACACAAAAAAAGATATTTTTAACCTCTAAAGTCCACAAATCTCTGAGCTGGGACTGATGGTGACGGAGGGGCACAGGGCTTCACTTTTACGCTTCACTACTGTGCTGTTCCACATACTAGACTGAGAACCAAGGAGCTCCCAGATGTGGAACAGTCTGCCCTCCCAAACTCTGTCTCTGACTCTGCAGATGTTTTCAGATAAACAGCTGAAATCCTCTTTGTTCAACCAGGCCTTCTGTGTTTCAAGTGTGTGTTAAACCTTTAGCTTTATTTTTATAATGTCACACATTTATCTCCTACTGTGATCATTTTCTCATCAATGTTCCATCTTGTTTTTTTTACCTATGTAAAATAAATAAATATTATATAAATAATATTTTACCTACTTTCTCCCTTTCAAAACAATTTGTTAGTCGTTGCACGTGTCAAAGTCTTCTCAGACCTGTCTTGACTTTTTAAAATTATGATCTGAGAGAGCTGCGTATGCGGAACGTAAAAAATGCCCCCCCACCCCACCCCCATCACCGGAATTAGCTGCAGAAAGGAGATGGACAAGAAAACGATCAGGTCAGAAAAAGCCAGTCTCGTCTGCAGTACAAGGAAATTAATATTCATGGTCCCGCCCAGCAGGACTTGGGACCGCCCATGGGAAGGAAACAACTGAGTGTGTTTCAGCTAGAGGCTAACCGTTAGCAATAGCAACTGCACAACATGGCAGAACATGCTAACGTGGATATATTTTTACCCATGAAGGAAGAGTGAACAAAGGCAGCAGAAGAGTCCCATTGCTGTTAGCCAATCAGAGGCGAGATGTTTGCATATCATGAATATTAATGAGTAAGACTGGGTCAGTGAACAAACTTTGAAGAAAATAGGAATAAAATGTGAACAGATGAAAAAACTTTGTGGCTAAATTGCAGCAAAAGGAAATAGTTGCAGTTGCATCCTAGGCGTCTCGAGGAGTCGTCCGTAAACCAAACCCGTCTCAAGAGCCTCATGCATACGGATTTGGTTAAATTCCAGGTCTAAGCGAGCGTCTTCTCTCATAACTTTGACGTCAACATTTGCGGACCGCTGAGATGCTGCTGAAGTGGAGAAGATGATGTGGCTGAAGTCCTTTTTTATAAATGTTTTATTATGGTCTGAAGTTGCTTTGATTTGCAGCTGCTGTGTTTATGAACTGAATCCAGATGTTAGAGGATGAATCGTCTTAAAGCGAGACCATTTTTCTAATAAGTGATTTTTTTTTATCTTCACAGATGAATCTACAGCTTGTTTTTATAGCGGCTCTATCAGCGGTCCTGTGTGTCAGCCGGGCTCAGCACGGTAAGAAACACACACACACCTAGTTTAAAGTCTATTACGTGGTAGAAACGACTTTATAACATGTTAGTGGTGGAGTAGTTACTGCTTTGTGACCATGTTGGGGTTATTTCCAGTCATCACTTGGTCATCTGCCTGGAGCTTTTCCCAGCATGACTCACTCTTTTCTTACTGAAGCTGGTTTGAATTAGTGAGCAAATGGAAAACTCTGCTGTTGGTTTTTGGCTCAGAAGAACTCTTCTGTTTTCAGATGTGAGCATTTGCACCGCGGCCAACGCGCAGTCATGTGGGGAGTGTATCCAAGTCTCAGAGACGTGTGGATGGTGTTCCGATGAAGTAAGCATCATCTTATATCTCTGCTGGGCTGTGCCTCAAAATAAGATGTCCCTGAAGCGGCATACAGAAGTCAGGTTGATTTAAAACGGATAACAGTGTCAATAAAGTGTCATCTTCATCAATTTATTCTAAAAAGGAGGCAAATTATTAGATTTTATGAGTCATCCTAGTATTTATTTCCTGTGTGAAATTCTTGAAAATGTTTAGTTGGTTCACAAAATAAGGAAAATGCTTGAAGCTGTAACATGTTTTACTTTTGCTGGACAAGGACGTGAAACGATTGTTTATATAGTAAAACCTCACCTTAGGGGTCTGGAAAACCCTCACGTAACTATCCTGTTTTCACCTAAAACATCATGCTCTTATTGTTTCAGTTGACTGTTTTTCATAGGAGGTATTCAGAGGACTGAGTTTAAACTGTTACTGGTTTTTAGTAAATCAGTGGCAACAAACAGGACGGATACCTGGGCTCTGATTGGTTAGTTTTCCCCTGCAGCTCGTCACACGAAATATATTCTCATTTATATTTTCCGTTCCTGTTGGATCCTGCCTGAATGTGAAAGATGAACGCTCCCAACCCGCTGAAACCACCATCCAATCACAGCTGCTGTTTGATTCCTTCTTCCTTTTTTGGTTGTTTTTCTCTGATATGTTGAAACAACCGAACAGCACCCGACTCCTTTCTCTGAAGGAATGATGTTGGCTTTGATTCTGTTTTCTCTGAGCCCTCCACCAGCTCGGCCGGGTTCGTCTGCTTTCACCTGGTTTGAGAGGAACAAGGAGAAACGTGATTTATAAAAGATTTGAGTCAAACTGACGTTTTAGTTCTGACTGAGCTCTTTGTCTACAGTTCTCCCTCTGCTGCGTCTTGTTGGGTTTCATGTGCCTCCAATTTACAGAAGCTCCGTTTGTCTGGTGGTTTCTTCATTTTTTTTCTTTCCTGCTGATTAAAAAATATACAAATGTGATTTTCTGCAGATGTTTTCAGCATAAATGTGTTTATTTTTTCCCATTAAAACATTTTTTAAGCAGGAAGACATCTGAACCCGTCGTGACGTGCGTAGTAAATAAAACCCTTTTAGATGATGGGTTTCGGCGTGTCTCCATGCTGCACTAAGCCCCGGAGTCTGGACACGTCCTGCTGACAGACGCCCATCTTAAAGTTAATTAAGAAAAAAATGCTGTGACATCACCTCTTATTTATTTTAAATTAATTAAAAAGCAACCATGCTCTTGTGTAGAAAGACCTGTGGCTTTAAGGAGTGATGAAAGTAAAATATTAAATAAACCAAATGCATAAAATCACAAGCTATTTATCTCCGGAGGCTAAAGAGAAACAAATCTTTGTTTGATTTGTTCTAAAATCCTTGAAATGTTACGAATATGGATTAGATTATAATCCTGCTTTCTCACAGCCTCTTGTTTTCTTTCTCATCCAGAAGTTCCTCCAAGTGGGCGAGTCCAAGTCTGCTCGCTGCGATGATTTGAAGAGCCTGAAGGAAAGGAAATGTGACGAGGTGAAGATTGAGAACCCCCGTGGTGAGGTCACAATCCTCAAGAACAAACCGGTTACCGTTCGCGTGGGCAACGTCAAACCCAAGCTCAATGAGATCACTCAGATCCAACCTCAGAAACTCTCCCTGAAGCTCCGATCTGGTGAGCATTTTGTTTTCTGATCCACTAAATCTGCTTCGAGCTGCTCTCTACGGCTAGTGAAGTCGTTTTAGTTTACTGGTTGTTGTTTTATTTCAGGTATTTTGATCATAAATCAGTCATGGGTTCATTTATTTAATTAATTACTTTTAAATACTCGTTTATTATTATTCATTTTAAAACATTTCTTATTAAAAATATGTTTTTTCTTTTGTTTTTAGAGAATTTTTCACTTCAACTTCCAAACTTAACCTTTTACAGACAACACTTTAAATGGGTTGTCACTTCTGTCTCAGGTGAGCCGCAGACCTTTAAGCTGAAATTTAAGCGAGCGGAGGACTATCCCATCGATCTTTACTACCTGATGGACCTCTCCTTCTCCATGAAAGATGATTTGGAAAACGTCAAGAACCTTGGCACTGACCTGATGAAGGAAATGAAGAAAATCACGTCAGACTTCCGAATCGGTGAGGAAAAACTTGACCTGATAACCTAAAATGTTCCGTGGATGGAATACACCTGTCATCCTGACATCACGTCCTCTCTTTTGGTCCCTTGAGGTTTCGGCTCCTTTGTCGAGAAGACGGTGATGCCTTACATCAGCACCACGCCAGCCAAGCTGCTCAACCCCTGCTCGGGGAACCAGAACTGCACTAGCCCCTTCAGCTACAAGAACGTCCTGAACCTGACAGACGACGGAGACAAGTTCAACAATCTGGTCAGCCAGCAGCAGATCTCCGGGAATCTGGATTCTCCAGAGGGGGGGTTCGACGCCATCATGCAGGTGGCGGTGTGCGAGGTGAGTCATGTCCTCCAGTGTCCCACCAGTGCGGTCCTGTTTCTCTCTAAACGAGAATTTTAATCACAGGAACAAATCGGCTGGAGGAACGTGACTCGTCTGCTCGTGTTTTCCACTGATGCTGGTTTCCACTTTGCTGGGGACGGCAAACTGGGAGGCATCGTGCTGCCCAACGATGGGAAGTGCCATCTGGAGAACAACTTTTACACCATGAGCCACTATTATGTGAGTCCTTTTCTTATCTATTGAAACTTATTTCTTATCAATGACGAAGAAAAAAAACACAATCAAGAAGATTATTTTAGTCAAAACCCGAAGATTGGGAAGCACAATACAAAGTTGACATGTTAAAGAGACGGCAGACCCATTTCCCCCGGCACACAGCAGAGTTGTGCTGCTGAAGGTGATCGAAACTAATCCGAGAAAACGTTAAGAGACCAACATGACTTTTATCACATCGGAATCAACAGAGACATGTTCACACTCCAACTAGTTCCTCTTAATTAATCATGTAAATAAACCATGAATCAGCTGTGCTGCTGTGAAAGCAGAGAAAAGCTGCTACGGAATCGTGTGTGTGTGTGTGTGTGTGTGTGTGTGTGTGTGTGTGTGTGTGTGTGTGTGTGTGTGTGTGTGTGTGTGTGTGTGTGTGTGTGTGTGTGTGTGTGTGTGTGTGTGTGTGTGTGTGTGTGTGTGTGTGTGTGTGTGTTAAATGCTTGCTTAGTATGAGGATTGCTGTAAAGACTCTTAACACTAGTCAGTGACGCGATGCAACCTGCTGGGTTCCTTGTGTAGGAAACTTTTTACTGATTGGCTTAATGAACTGACCTGTTCACTATGTGAAGTGCCTTGAGATGACTTGTCGTGATTTGGCGCTTTATTTATAAACTTGTATTGAATTTGGAAATGGCTGCAGTACTTGGTGCAAAAAGGAAGATAAAAGAAAGAGATAAGAAAAAATAGGAAGTAAGAAAATAATCATGATAACATGATAATATAAAGTAGCAATACATAGAGAAACGGCTGCTATATACAAGTTGGTGTAGGTAGTAACCAGAGCAGAGCAGATCAGTTCAGTTCAGGTACAAACATAACACAGGGTCATGTGACCAGGAAGCCCAGATGTTCAAACAGGAAGTCACAATAATGTGTTTTTCAGAAGCTTCAGAAGGATAAAACGGTCTGGAACGTGCACTGCAGAGTGTATGGGTGTTATAAACGTGTGTTCTCCTGTGGAAGTGCACGTTACTCAGAAAGCAAAATAAAAGCGTGTTTATAAAATAATTGGATTAATCTTTGTTTTTATGGTTGTTTGGAGCTAAAACTGAAAACGCAGACTATTTGTAAAGGTTCAGTTGACTGGTCTCCTCCCACACTCGTGTTCTTATGAGTCGAATTGTTCTTTAGGATTATCCTTCCATCGCTCATCTGGTTCAGAAACTGGGCGATCACAACATCCAGACCATCTTTGCTGTGACCGAGGAGTTCCAGCCCGTTTACAAGGTAAACCACTCTGCTCAGGCTACTTTGTGTAACAATGAATGGATCAGATGTGTTCAGTTCTCCTTCTGCTGTTTCAGGAGCTCAAGAATCTTATTCCCAAGTCAGCTGTTGGCACTTTGTCGTCCAACTCCAGCAACGTGATCAAACTGATTATTGATGCCTACAATGTAAGAAAACATCTTCGTATTTCATCTGTACAGTTAATCAGGACCGATCTTTATTAATCTAATAGAGCTGCACAATCTTATCACCGAGTATGACCGTTTTCACATTTACCTCACGTTTTCATCTGTTGTCAAGACGTTCGTATCTCTGCTAATATCTACTTCAGATTCAGCTGCCGTCAACGCAAGGCTGGAAAATCCAGCTCTCTGATTGGATAAGACTGGGAGAAATAATTCTGAAAGTAGCTAAATTCATCAGGGGCTTTCTAGATTTTATTATTATTACGTTAGTCTAACATACTGCTGGTGCCCCTGAATTTCTCCGCTATGGGACGGTAAAAAAGTTTTATTGATTTGTTCAGAGCTACTGTACTAAAAAACAAAAAACCTCGTCTTGCAGACAGAAAATCACTGGTTTAAGTTGGTTTTACCATTTTAAGCCTTCTCTGAGTCAGGGATGAGGTCCTGCCCCAAGTGGAGGAGTTTAAGTATCTCGGGGTCTTGTTCACAAGTGAGGGAAAACTGGAGCGTGAGATCGATAGGTGGATTGGTGCTGCATCTGCAGTGATGCGTGCGTTGTACCGGTCTGTCATGGTGAAGAGAGAGCTGAGTCAGAAGGCGAAGCTCTCGATTTACCGGTCGATCTACGTTCCTACCCTCACTTATGGTCATGAGCTTTGGGTAGTGACCGAAAGAACGAGATCACAGATACAAGCGGCCGAAATGAGTTTTCTCCGCAGGGTGGCTGGGCTGTCACTTAGAGATAGGGTGAGAAGTTCAGTCATCCGGGAGGGGATCGGAGTAGATTCGCTGCTCCTCCACGTCTAGAGGAGCCAGGTGAGGTGGCTCGGGCATCTGGTCAGGATGCCTCCTGGTCGCCTCCCTGGTGAGGTTTTCTGGGTGCGTCCAACCAGGAGGAGACCCAAGGGAGATCCAGGACACGGTGGAGGGACTATGTCTCTCGGATGGTCAGGTACGCCTTGGGATTCCCCCGGACGAGCTGGTCCAAGTGGCTGGAGAGAGGGACGTCTGGGCCTCCCCGCTTAGGCTGCTGCCCCCGCGACCAAACTGCGGATAAGCAGCTGAAAATGGATGGATGGATTGTTTAGAAAGTTATAGATGATTTAATTTAGCCTTTTACTGTAAAGAAAAACCTGATGGTGACACAAACAATGATGATGCAAAAGTTATAATTATATCAACTAACTGCAGTTTTGTTCTATTATTTCTAAATATGACATGGTTGTTAATCTAAACTAGAGATCTATAATCCCCCAAAATAAAATATAGGAAGAAGAAAAATCTGCCTAAATTAGGATGACACCTTATTTTTTGCTGTAATCTATATTCACACATACTTTATTGTAACTTGTGTTTTTAAAAGCTGAGAAGGGTGAGATTTCTACCCTTTAAGGAACAAGGCTAACCTGTGGTTTGTGTTTGGGTAGTCTCTGTCGTCGGAGGTCATTCTGGAGAACACCAAGCTGCCAGAAGGAGTTTTTCTGTCCTATAAATCCTTCTGTAAGAACAATGTGGTGGGAACGGGCGACAACGGCAGGAAGTGCTCCAACATCTCCATCGGAGACGAGGTAACAAGGATTTCTTCATTAATTGTGTCACTCGGCTCGTTTGGCGTCTCAAAACTTGTAACTGATCTTGTGAACTCTCTGGGTATTCAGGTCGAGTTTGAAATTTCCGTTACATCCCAGAAGTGTCCATCAAACGGGAAACCTGAAACCATCAACATAAAACTTCCGGGATTCAGTGAGTTTGTGGAGGTGGTTCTGAATTTTATCTGCGACTGTGACTGTGCGGCGACGGGAGTGCCCAACAGTCCTGAATGCAACAAGGGCAGCGGGACCTTGGAGTGTGGAGCCTGCAAGTGAGTTTTCATCCCGAGACATTAAATCAGGACCGTCTGTGGGCTTCCTGTTTGGAAAAGGGAAGAATGTTGGATTTAAAGAAGCCGGTGACGAAACTGGCCAACCTTCTTTACCTTCTGCTTCAGGTGCAACGAGGGACAAATCGGTCAGTTCTGTGAATGCAGCCAAGATGAAGTACAGACCAACGACATGGACGCAAACTGTCGAAAAGACAACGGCACAGACATCTGCAGCAACAACGGGGAATGCGTCTGTGGTACCTGCATCTGCAAGAAGCGTGAAAACCCTGCAGAGGTTTACAGCGGAAAGTACTGTGATTGTGACAACTTCAACTGTGACCGCTCCAACAACAAGCTCTGTGGAGGTGAGGCACGAAGACGGACACCCCCACCGCTAAACGGCTCTGAACTAAATAATAATCCCATCTTTGTCGGTTTTATCAGGACATGGTCGCTGCGAGTGCAGGAAGTGCATCTGTGATGCCAACTACACGGGCAACGCTTGTGAGTGCTCCATGGACAGCTCCACCTGCCTCGCTAAGAACGGGCAGGAATGTAACGGCCGGGGAAAATGTGAGTGTGGAGTCTGCAAATGCTCAGACTCAAAGTTTCAAGGGCCGACCTGCGAACTCTGCCCCACCTGTCCAGGTGTTTGCACTGAGCACAAGTGAGTCTGCATGTGATTCAGGCCATTTCTAATATATGTTAACATTTAATTAAAGATGCAGCAGTTGTGTTAATATGTCTTACATCAGGAAACAAAAGGACTTAAACAGCAAATTAAACCACTATAACCCTCTGGAGGCAGGCGTTGCAGATGCAACGTTAAAACCGACCGACTGGTTACTCCACATACGTATTTCATGAGCATTTTTTAACTCAGAAGTACCCTGAAGGACTTAGTTGTTCGTCCTTTTATCAAAACTTATTTTGAGCCTGAGAGGGTTAATGGTTTAACTTCAGCTGGACTCCAAAGGGGTTTTATTCTGCCAGCAGCACTTTTGGACGACAGCCTTGAAATTTGCCCTGCTGTCTCTATCACAGCAGTTGTGTGTAATAAAAGCAGTAACATGCATGTAGTTTTGGAGTTTGTGTATAAAAATGAGGTCATTAATGGCAGTTTTCTTTTTCTGCTATTGGAACCATGTTAATGTTAACGCTTGATTGATCCTGCAGTACCTGAAACGAACAGCAGGTGTCACCACAGAGAAAATAACAATCACATAAACAGCAGCAGAAGAAGAGTGTGCAGGAAGTAAACACAATTTTAACTTTAGTTAGTTCCGGTCGGGGATTAAATGGTTGCTGTTTATGGATTTGCTCGTGTACCAGAAGCACCCAGCACAAATGTGAAGCTGTCTACGTCTAGAGACGACGCGTCCTTTACAAATGTCACTACAGGTTTATATCGGTTAACTTTACTGGGTCTTCCTGTGTCTTGTTTGGAAACATATCGATCATTTTTAAAAACTCTATATATTGTCCAGTCTGAACTGAGCCTTCACACTCTTCTCCTCAGGGATTGTGTTCAGTGTTTAGCCTTCAAGACCGGTGAGAAGAAGGACACGTGTCAGCAAGAATGCACAAAGTACAAGCTGGAAAAAGTGACTGAACGGGAACGCCTGCCCCAGCCCACCGATGAGCCCATCCCTCGAGCCATCTGCAAGGAGCGAGACGAAAACGACTGCTGGTTCTATTTCACCCTGGCAGTCCAGGAGGATGATACGAAGCAGGTCCATGTGCTGGAGAAGCCGGGTACGGTTAACTGATCGGTCCAGTTTTTATAAATGGTTAGAGTCTGAGGAAGATTTCAAATGTTTCTTCAACTTCTTTACAAACAAAATTCTTCATGAAACACGAGAAGAGGACTGGTTGTTTCCGAGGGGTTAAGGAAATGGTTGTAATGGATGTTTGTGTGTCCCAGAGTGCCCGGCGGGACCTGACATCATCCCCATCGTGGCCGGAGTCGTAGCGGGAATTGTGATGATCGGACTCGCCCTGCTGCTCATCTGGAAGCTGCTCATGATCATCCACGACCGCAGAGAATTCGCCAAGTTTGAGAAGGAGAAGATGAACGCCATCTGGGACACGGTGAGTAAAGCTGTAGTTTAGACCCGGCCAGCTGATGCCTGGAATCTCCAGGTGTAAACAAAACCTGGAAAACCCTACAGCCAGAAATCTGGATGAAAGCTCAGATTAGAGTCCAAAATACCTCTTTGTCTGCTTCTAGATCAACGTTTTTTGATACAAACACACCAAAAATGTGTCTCAAAAATGTTGGAAATGTAGCTTTTAATCAACAATAACTTTTAACTGAGCTACGTATGCTACAAACATTTCAACTCCAGAAGTAAAAAAGCCCCTAAGTCCTGATATCTGGATGAAATGATGTTTCTACAAATGAAACGAGCTTCACAGCTCAGGTACAAGCTACCAGAGAAGCTAAACATGGTTTTTAAAGTTTAATGTGAGCGAGTGTCGTGCTTTCTCCTTCACTTATTGTTGATGGTGTATAACCCAAAGCTGCTGGTCTAAACAGCTAAGTTTGACCCATCTTGTCTGTTTAAATGATTCTGACCGTGTGTAGCTCTAACATGTAGTTCGTCCGGAGGACGAAGCGGTTTGAGCAGAAAGGAGCCTAGTGTGGCTTTCTTTATTCTCCGTTTGATTGTGGGAGTGGCCAGTCCCCCAGCTGTTATGCTGCCGCTCGCTGTCCACATGTTAAAACTACACAACTACTACACAGCCATACCAGCCATCGCAGACAGCTCCTGGCTCTGATGACACTATGCCCTTTGACCGTAAACATTAAAACCAAAGCAGTGATCTACAAACGACTGAAAGTCTACGTTTGTTTTAAAATCCAACAAAAGTGAATAATATCTCTAAAACTAAAGAGTAGATTTTATACACGTTCTCTCAGAAGAAGCTGTTCAGCAGGACCTGCCCACACGCACACAGTGCTGCACAGAGGAGGTTTATTTCCAAGGATTTGAACTTTAACACCAGTTTTTCTGTCCTTTGGAATCAACGATCTCCAGAGGACAAAGCACTGAAGCTTTCAGAGCGGAGGTCCAGCCCGTCAAACGTGTTAGACCCGTGTTTCTCCTCCAGCTGAAGGCCACTGGCTCCTGGAGGCTCCTCCTGCTTTTTTTGTCTGATTAACTCACTGTCGCTGCTCTTCTGTGTGTTTCAGGGCGAGAATCCGATCTACAAAAGCGCCGTAACGACTGTCGTCAACCCAAAGTACGAGGGCAAATGACGGAGCTTTGCTCTTGCTGTGACAACACTGTATGGAGAAGAAAATGGGATTGGAGGGTGGTGTATTTTTTTATGCTCACGTTGATGTTTTAGTCGCCGATGCATTTTGCCACTGTTTGTTTTACTAATGTGTTCTGATCTCCTATGCATCATCTGTGTAAAGTTTTGAGTGGAAAGTGAAAGAATGTGCTTTTGTAATTTGACCCTGCCTGATCATGAGAACCCAGCTGTGCCTTTTTATTGTTTTACATAAAAGCTAACAGTGTTGTGTGGAGGGCTGAATCAGACGTTAATGAGGAGTTTATGGTTTTCTCGGTTCAGTTAGAGGCAGTCAGTCGACATTTGGGGAAGAAAAAAGGAAACGGGCGATCAAAGTCCTTCCTATTGATCTGCCTTCTGACCAAAGATCTCGCTGTGTTTTTCTCACATGGGAGGATTAGTGATCGCTCTTTTTAAACGCCTCTTTTGGAGCGTAGTGTGTTGTTGCTAAGCTGGCAGCTGTGAAATGTGTTCAGGTTGTTCAAGGTTTTCTATAAAGCCATACATGAATTAGCCAGACAGGAGGAATTGGTGGTGGTAGGTCTTTAGTTTCTCCTGAGTGACTTAGGTTTCCAGAACTGCCTTTTAAAGTGAAAGGACACCCATTTACAGGAGAATTACTGCTTCAGTTCCAGGTTTTATTTCCTTAATTTAAAAACAAACTCAGGTTCTTCATTTCTAATCAGCCGTACCAAATATTCCTTTTTCTGTAGCTAGATTTTTGTTTTACCTGTGGATTACAAACTGGAAGAGCATCAACTTTCCTCTCTCTGTCAGTAATTCCACCATCTGTCTTTTTATGTTTTCTCGATCAAACGTTTTATACTAAACAATCATGATTAGTGATAAAGAGAAAAATGCCTGCATCCTAATTTTTTTGTCATAGTTTAAAAGAAAAAAACTGTTTCAAAGTGCCTTTTGTTCATTTTTGCCACATGTTCAGGCAATCTTTTCTGTAATTATTTATTGAATAAACCTTCAAAACATTTGACCCCATTATGAGGTGGTGGTGCTGTTATTCTTTTGTATATGTGTCTTAATTTACTGATGAATTTGGGACTTTGTTCCTGAGAGGTAAACAAATACTTTGGGATTTTCAGATTATTAGTCAGGCAACTATTTAATCATTAAACCAATGAAGCTCAAGAAACTAAATTTAAAGGAATAAAATTGTTAGAATTTGTAGTTTTTGCTCACATGTAGTAAATGTTTATGTTAAAGTTTTGTATTCAACGTTAAAATGATATTAAACAGTTAATGTAAGCAGGTCAAGTTTCAATTTTTTTAACAACACAGAAGTTGGTTTTATTGGTCTTTGTTTATTCCTGCTTACAGAGGTGACATTCCCTTGTATTCCCTTTTTCCTCGCTGTGAAATCTGATTTAAACAAAGTACATTTTGCTCCTTTTCATGTGGCTAATCTCAAATGTGTAACAATTTGTTTATTTTGAAAAATAAGCGAAGAAATGCAAAGTAAATCGATATAGCTGACATTTTTTGAAGATTAAACTAGTTTAAAATGCATAAATATGAGGAACTGAAACGAAACTGGCCAGAGGTGCTGGCAGGTTCAACTACAGCGCTGTGAAACAAACAACTCGTGTTACAAATCGAGGTAGTTAAACTAATATGTAAAATTAGCTGTCAGCTAAAGCTAACCTTGCTAACAGTGTCAACCAATCACGTCTCGTCCCATCCCTTGTGGCACGCGACGTCACGATCCCAGGACTCGCCACAGGTGATTGGTGGCCGTGGCTGACCAATCAGATCGCGTCTTTCACAGCAAAGTTGTTAACCCCCAACAGTAGCACTTTGGTTTCCACCTCTAGTTTCAGGACAACGACAGAAAAATACAGAGTTTTTACCGACTGGAAGCGCCGTTTGACGGGCTGGACACCAACCAGACACCGGTTTTTGTCATCCATCGTGTTTCATTATGAAACTAACTGGAATAACTAGCCGTGGCCACCGTTAATGTTCTAGTTGGCTCCTTTTCTGTGGCTCGCGCTGCGTCGTCGTGTTTCTTCTTTTTTTTAAACTTCTGACTTGCAGAAAACGTTGCCCGTTTGTCCCAAAAGCCTCGACATATTCGGACACATTCAGCCGGTGAGTATCTTCCTGTCATGTTTTCAACTTGAATCGCTGCCCCTGAGTAAAAAAGGCCCATCGTGATTAGTGTTTTCTGGCATCAGATGATTTCATACACGCAATCAAATTCCTGGCTGGTCAGCTGGATGCAATTCAGCACTAAAACCACAAGTTCTCCCACACTTACTTGGTGTTCGACGCCCCGATAAGACGGATGTTATCCCGTAAAACGATTTATCAGGCCGTAAAAGAGGGATTTAAATGTCAAGTTGTCAGGTTTAAAAAATAAATAAAATGTCGGAAATCTGATCTGGTTAATTTTCGGTGGGAAACATCAGCAGAAGGCAGAGGCGGAGCCCGCTGTAAGCTTGAAGTTGTTTAGACCGGAATCCTTTGGACGAGTTTTCAGCATGTTCGTTGGAAATGTTAAGAATTTGGTGTTTGATTGGCTTTGGGTGTGTGACTGAACAGTGCCAGGCTGTCCCTGTGGTCTGTCCTGGAACTGCTCGGCCTGTTCTGGATCAGACCCTGCATGTATCACATTATTATCTAAGCCAGAACTAGATCACTTCCTAAAACGGTTTGTGAATCTGGCCGGATCCGATCCGGTTTAGCATCATCACAGCTTCTAATATTAAAAACCGTGATGTCCGTCCAGGTGAGCTGTGGCTGAGGCTTCCAGGTCTTTCCTGTGATTATCTGGACTGACAAACAAACTCTTGTATGTTGGCTGAAAACCATGAGGTATGCAACTTTTTACCTCGCCTACACGACCTTTCTTTATGTTTGACATGGGAAATGTGATCCAAAAGAAAACTTTTTTTGTGCCTAAATTATTGACAGTTTTCTTCAATCTTAAATGTCAAATCACAAAATTTGAAGCTTTATTGGACATTAACATTGATTTCAGAGGTGTTGGGTCTTTTGTCGAATACGCTCCACTAGAAACATCTCTGACAGCACTTGCATGTAAAAAAATGGCTATCATACAAGAAAATTGAGAACAAATGTTCCTTTAGACTTTAAATGTTTATTTTTATTGAATTCTTATTTATCTGTTTATAGTAATTAGTGCTGTGAAAAATAAAGTGTTAATTTAGTTAATGTGAAATGTTTAATGCATTAAAAAACGTGATTAATGCAGTTTTTTAAATTTTACGTAATCCGACACCTCAAACTCGTGAGCGTCTCTGAAGGAGGGGTCAGCATTGCGCTATGCTGGTGTCTGACCTGCTGGAAATGATTAGAAGCAACCGCAGCAGAAAGGGAGGAGAGGAAAAGCCTGCTAGCATGCTATCTTGCTAGCATGGACAATGCTGTCCATGGAGCGCTGTCTAGATTGGTACAAAGCAGAGCCCAAAATGGATTTTGGAGACTGTCCATTAGCATGGTGGTTGAAGAGAGAAGAAGCACATTCAGACTGGCACCTGTTGCATGCAAGTACCTGTCAACCCCGGCTGCAACCACAGTGCCTTGTGAGAGAATATTCTCACTCTCAGGTCACATCGTTAAAAAAAACGTGCTTCTTTGTCCTCAGATAATGTAAACTAGGGTGACCATACGTCCTCTTTTCCTCGGACATATTCACTTTTCACTCTCTTTGGGGGTGGGGGGCACGTATTGATGAAAATGTCCGGTTCTGCGCGTCCAGTGCACGGTCCATTCTCAAAGTGGCACAACCAAAAACTATTAACACGATCGTTCATGTCCACACATGTTCTCTACTTTCTGTCTTATTTGTGCCTGAAGCGCTCTGCTACTGCAGAGCTCATCACCTGTGCTGCCGTGATTTCACCTCACTGACGCAGCATTGAAACGCGCTCTCGCTTTGCGGTCAGGAGATCCCTTTGATCTGCTCAGAAGTAACTGATGAGGTGAAAAAGTAAGAATCCAGGCAGCAGTTTTTCTGGAGAGTTTAGAGGAGATGCAGGAAGATGAGAGACAGACAGGACAGGAAATGGTTAAATAAAAACAAGAAAACAAAACAGTGTTGGAAAAGTTAAATGTAGGTAGATTTATCTCCACTACACATTTTTACCTGTATAAAACGATAAGGTATACACATGTAATATTTATACATCTGATACAATTCAGTTAACCTTCAAAACTCAGTCACACACTGGGCTGTTTCAAGGCATTCTGGGGGCCAAGGCTAAACGGAACACCCCCCACCCCTATAACTGGGCTCCCCAGAAGCCTCTGTGTAATCCAAACCCTGTCCAGGAGTATTAGTTATACAGTGTTTGTAAAAGCCCCTCAGACATATCTGACATGTTCTAATATTATCAGATGAAAAACTAATCAGACATGCTGTCTCATCTACTTCTTTTCTAAACTTGCAAAAAGTAATAAAACCATTTGAAAGCCACTATTTGTGGATTCTCTGAAAGTTTCCATGGAGTGTGTAACAACTTTTTTTTTCATTGAGAAATATAAAGTTGGAAAAAAGTAAGAGCAGCCATGCTAATGATCAGATAAATTGCGATTGATTACAGAAAGTTGTGCGATTATTAGTTTTATTTTTTTAATCGACTGACAGCCCCAATAGTAATACTTTACACAATACAATACCCACCAGGTCAGGGGTGGACTGGGGGGTCTAGGTGTTACCAGCCTTATGGGCTTGACACACGGGAGGCGATATCGCCTCTCCTCCATTCATTTTCAATGAGACATGCGTAATAAAAGCAATAATGAATAATAAAAGAAGAGCGATAATCACGGGTCTCCCTCCTACTAAACGAAACGCGAAAAACGTGCGTGTGAAATTCTGCGCTCGTGCACGGGTCGTGCACAGGCGACCCAGCGACGCAATCCCAAAAAGTTGAAATACCATATTTTCACGACCATAAGGCGCACCTAAAAGTCTTAAATTTTCTCCAAAATGTACGCTGCACCCTGTGGTGCGGTGCGCCTATTGTGTTGTTGTGAGACGCGAACGTAGTAGAAGACAAGGGGCGTGGCGTGAAAGTGCGAACATGAGCGAAGACAGACCTGTGGATTTGCCACATCGTCATCATCATCCTCCGGCTGTGAGTCTCCGTCCACTTCCTCTGCTTCCAGTTCAAAAAACAGCCGTACTATCTGAACTGCCTGGTGGACATTTATCCTTCTCATCATCCTTTATTAAAGACTAATAAAAGCCTACTAAACTGCAGAGACAATATATCTGTCCGGATCGCTCCAAAATATGAAGTTTACCGTCCATATCTGTCTAATTGTTTGTTGTTACTCCGTTCGCGCCACTCCTTTCCACGCGAAGCGGCTACTTTTTACGCACATCTCGTTACTCGTGCAGCCTTCCTCTCTCTCTCAGCTACATAATGATACTTTTCATCAATTGAATATGTGAGACTTCCACCAACAGCAAAAGGATCTCATGTTTTTGTGGGTTTTTTATGTTCACAAGCACATTCCCTCTCACGGATTACTAAACTGCTGCTTTGACAAGATTGTCTAAAAATAGGTCATTTTTTTTAGTTTAGCATAATGGGCTCGACGCACGGGAGGCGAAATCGCCTCTCCTCCATTCATTTTCAATGAGACATGCGCGCTGCCGTGTGTCAGGTAATAAAAGCGACAGCGACAAATTTTGCTGATCGCGGTCATTTGTCGCCTCCCGTGTGTCGAGCCCACAACTCCGCTTTTACGTTGCCTATTAACAAAATTTAAAAACTGAGGTGTAATTTGTAATCTCCTTTTTAAAGCTGAATTGAAACCGAAACTCAGGGAGGCGGAGTCTTGCTGCTACAGCGTCCCAAATCAGACCTGTTCAAAAGACGCGTATACGCGTCCATGGACCCCAGAGGGTTAATAAAACACAATTCAAATCACACTATTTTCTTATGCCTATTGATAACACACGTAAGATTTTGTTCATGTTGAAAGTTTATGTGGTTAAATCCACCAACTACCGGTAAACACATTCTGAACTTCAACTCGGCGCTGCGAGCAGCTGCGACCCAAAAAGTACCAGAACCGCTCAGGGTGCATGCGCAATCATGCATCAGCACTGCTCGCCATGCTGTTCATTTTTTTCTACACGTTTTTTTACTCACAAAGATTGTCAAGAAAGTGTGCTTGTCATGTTCATGTCAAATTAAACTGATCACAAAACACAGATTTACTTTCTTTATTTCGTTTTCCTCATCCAACCCCCATAAATCCCTGTGTGTCCTCCTGCAGCACTCCCGGTGTACGCCCGGTGTCTGTACAAGATCTGCTCGGGTGCAAAATTGGCTCGGGTCCGTCGACTGCCGATGACGTCTGAGTAGTTGATTGGCTGAATATGAACCTTACGGAATTACGTAATCACGTAACGTTGTTATCACGTGACGTTGGTCCAGGCAAATTTTTTTCTATTGGAAAGATGGACAACTTTTACAAAGAAATCCATCATTACCTCTTTGAAAATACACTTTTAGCATAGAGCTGCAAGTATATTAGGGCTGAACGATTAACTGCATGTGCAATTAAATTGCGATGTGACAAAAGGAGATTTTCTAATGGCAAAGGCTGCAATTTGGCAGCGAGTGGTTAGCGCAATGCTAATATACATGGAAAAACCCATAGGAATGCTAATGCTAATATCGCCGATTACATTATTACAAATTATGAATTAGAAACGTGCCAAATGATTACATTTGGAGTCTAATAGAAAGTAAAACTACCATCAATCAAATAAGTACAGACAGGTATTTTAGTAAAGCCAGAAAACTTTTAACTCCATAGCTTTGGCTAGCAGCTATGAGCGTAACTGAACTACGCATGGACAAGACGTCAAAAACTCTAAACACAAATACTTCAATAAACGGGACACACTTCTTTCCTGCAAATACAATTTCACAGGTGTTGCTAATACCTATGGTCCTTCAAGGGATGTGCTCAAAGAGGAGTTCAACATGAATCAAATATAGTGTTTTATTTTACAAATACTATTATAAACACAAACTTACGTCTTAAGAAACATTATTTTAATAACGAAACTGCTAAATTCTTTCCAACAGTATAGATGTGTAGTGTATTTTGTCCGAGTGGGTTTGCCGTACTTTGACGTCATCGGCAGTCGAAGGACCCCGAGCCGATCTTGCACCCGAGCAGATACTGTACCGACACCGGCTTTAGTAGGAGGGAGACCCGCGATTATCGCTTTGTCGCGCATGTCTCATTGAAAATGAATGGAGGAGAGGCGAAGTTGCCTCCCGTGTGTCGAGCCCATTAGAAGAGCACGAGCCGTCAGCGCACGCAATGAGGAAGTGCACGTGCACTCTAAACCAGGTCTGAACCAGGACTAGACCAGTAAAGTGAAGCATACTTTTGGCTGTTTATAATTTTCACAATGTCTGGTTTGCACTGATATGTTCCGAGTCCCGAGCCCGCACAGATGTTTTACCGGTACGTTTTACCGTGCCCTATAACCCGGTGCGCCTTTTGTATGTGTTAAATACCAAAAAGACACCCGTAACTGAAGCTGCGCCCTATAACACTGTGCACCCTATGGTCGTGAAAATACGGTATTTTCAACTTTTCATCGCTGTCGCTCAAACGAGAACCAATCAATAGAGGTTTCATTCACTGACCAATGAGCGGGCAAGATGCTCCGTACATCTCCGAGCAAATATGGAGAAGTTGATTATTATTATGTTT